ATATAATATAATATAATATAATATAATATAATATAATATAATATAATGTAATCTATATAGCATATATAATATTTATATTAATTGACTGTCAGTCTAGGAAAGCCTATGGACCCCTCCCTACTCAGACTAATGTTTTTAGGTATGTAAAATACATAGCATGACAAAGGAAACAAATTTGTTGAAACAGACTATCTTTATCTATCTAAAGTTCATGTTCCCCCAGCTTAAAAACTCCTGCGTGTAGAGCAAACAAGAGGACGCAGAGAGAAAGAGCTACTTGAAATCCAGGATCATACTCAGCGATAAGATGGAGATAATACTCACAGTACAACTATTTTACAGTGTTGTGAGCAAAGTGATGTGTAAGCTTGAAAGGCCTCCATAAATACATTTTGTGTTTTGTTTTCCCCAGGGAAACTATATGCTGGGAATATAGTAGGTACTCAGCAAATATAATGGGGATTGACCATAAAGGATTGAATTAATCAACATGCATTTATTAAAAGTGACAAGCCAGGGACTGTAAAGGCGGAACCTCCCACCCCACAACTTTTGACCATTTCTAGGGCAGGGTGCACCGAACTAGCTGAAATGTCTCCTTCTCTAGTCCCTTGGGTGAATATACTGGATTCTCCCTCCAAATACTCGTCTGTGTTCAAGTCAAGGCAGGGGGTCAGCTAGGGATTTGTAAGACTCTTCTCTCCGAGGGGGCCTGACCACTTGGCTACCCTTCTGAGATCTTTCCTCCCATAGAGAGTGGGATCAAAGCCTTCTCAATCTCTGAAGCACCTGAGAAGCACCAGCTTGAATGACTGATAAGTTTCTTGAAGAGAGCATCTGGACAAGTCTCTTGGGTATTGACTTTAATAAAAAGGATTCCTGACATTTCTTCCCTTTCTTATCTAAGCCCTCCCCAGGATGAATGCCACAAAGCTAAAGGGAAATCCATACAGGGTAAGGAATTTGTTGTCCTTGAGATAAGAGAATGCCAGGGACCCACCATCAGCTGGCCATTCACTGAGCTATTTCCATGAGTAGGGAAGCATTTCCAGGCATTACTCTAGGACATTCAGCTTTGGCCTCCCTATTCCTCCCTCCCCTCCTTGTGAATAAGGACAGGCATTTGCAAGATGGGGTCTAGTCCCTGGAATGAAACATACTGTGGTCAGGAGATAGAATGAGGCTAACTGGAGGAGGCAGGGATAGTACCTGTGACCCAGGTCTCCTCACCCAAGACCTCAACAAAATGAGCTCACCAGCCACAAGACCCAGTCTAGAACAGATGGACTGATCAGGCTGGCTAGCATAGGCCTCATTCTATACTTAGGGCAGGCAAGTCACTAAACTGACTTTTTTATGTTAGTTGTAAATAAGGGAATGTTCAGGCTCTATCTTAGATTCTGCTACTCTCACTCCTCCTCCTTTCTCAACCCTCCCACTTAAGTCAACAAGTAATTATTAAATACCAATTATGTGCCAGACACTGGATTATCAGTAAAAGTATTATCAACTGTGGGAGTGGTGGATCAGGAAAGGCTACTTGCAGTCATTCATTTATTCAATCAGCAAGCAAACAACTACAAATCAGGGCTTGACTGTCTTTTTTGACTAGTGTCTAGACTTAAAGTGATGGACAAAATGTTAATAATGCGGATTAAGCCTAAAACTAAGGCAGCCAGGTGACACAGTGGATAGAGTACCAGGACTGGAGTCAGGAAGACTCATCTCCATGGATTCAAATCTGACCTCAGACACTTACTAGCTATGTGACCCTGGGCAAGTCATTTAACCCTGTTTGCCTCAGTTTTTTCATCTGTCAAATGTACTGGAGAAGAAAATGGCAAACCAGTTCAATGTCTTTGCTAAGAAAACTCTAAATGGAGTCACGAAGAATGGGCATGATAGTTTATGTAATTCTCAAGGATATTTTGAATCCTATATTTGCAATATGCAATTTTTCATTTGTCAGGTTATAAATGACAATGATATAAAATACTAGGCACCAAGTTTTAGCTTGATGCTAATTTTTTGCAACCTGCCACGGTATGTTGTACAATTTCTACTATTTCCTTGCATAATCTACATTGGTCAGTAAGTGTGCCCTCCTGAAGGGTAACGCTCCTGTAACTTTTCTTGGCAATGACCTGCTTCTAAATCACTATCATAAACCTCTCCATTTCCACAAAGAAACCCACATACCTCAACTGTTTGTATCATTTTTTATATGTATGTGTGTATATATACATATATATATATATATATATATATACACACACACATATATATATATGACTGTTTACATATTGTCTCCTGGAGGACAGGGATGGTGTTTCTGTCCTTTGTATTCTCAGAACTTAATACAGTGCCCAGCATTCAGTAAACTCTTGCTTAATAAATGTTCCTTGGTTGATTGACCAACTGCTGGAGTCCACAGCACTTTCAACACAGCATGAAACTGAGGGAAATCTTGAGGCCTGGTCAAAGAGAGATGATCAGAGACTAAGGCTGAGGAGCCAAAAGAGGAGGGAATGGCCCCATGGCCCTTCTACCCTACAAAACTGCTCAACTTGAAGTGTAAACATAACTAGTTTCCAAGTATGGTTGAGTTGATGTAAACGCATCTCACATCTGTACATTTTACTCTACTTTGGCCCTTATCACGTCTCAACCGGATGAAATCATCTTTCTGGAGCAGTGCTCCCCATGCCAGATCCTTGCAAAATATTTTTCAACTGTTTCCTACTGCTTCTAGGACTCAGTTATTAATGGACATTTATATAAGTAATAGGTTGACAAACCTTTATTAGGTGTTTACTGTTATGCCACACATTATGCTAAGTGCTAAGGACACAGAAAGAGGCAAGACAGTCCCTGCCCTCAAGGAGCTTGCAGTCTAATGGGGAAGACAAGTGAACTTTCCCATTTACAGATAGCTTCACATATCCTCTTATTGTAGCCTCAGAAGGTAGGTTATGCACGTACTCATTAGCCCTATTCTAAAGACAAAGAGGAAACAGGCCGAGAAGGGACGTGAATGAGGACTCATGGCTGCAGTGGTATCCGAGGCAGGATAGGAAATCAGGTCTTCCTGACTCCAAGCATTGTATCCGCATTCTCCACGAGGCATCCTTCCATTCAAAGTCATCACCCAGGCATTGAAGGCTCTTCATAGTCTGGTCCTTTGCCTGTTTTTTCCAGTTATTTCTTATGATAGTCCTCTTCCTGGACTTTGTTTCAGCCAAACGAGCTTGATTGGTGCTGCTCAAACTCAACATCCTCCTTTCCTTGCCTCGATGTCTTTGCAAGGACTGTCCCTGGGCCTTGGAACCCAAACAGACCCTTCTGCCTCCCTTCAAAGCTCGGGCCGGGTACCCCTTTTCAATTCTACTAGTCATGAGTGGTCTTGGCCTCCTTGACTTACCCTATTTTAAGTTGTCTGTGTATGTATCTCCCAGAACAGTGGAAGGATTCTCCCAGAGAGAAGGACTGTTTCATTTTTGGCTATTTCCAGTACCTAAACATGGTGGATACCCAATAAGTATTTGTCGTTAGCTTCTTTTTGACACTCATTAGTTCTCGTGGCAAAAATTTCTTTGAATTTGAAATGCCCTTGCAAATTGGACTTCTATATGCCACTTTGTGCTTCACAATCAAAGACTTCTCTGTCCATCATTCTTTGCCCATTGCCAGGGGAAATACATGAGACCTTCCCCACTCCCAGGTATTGTAGTTAGGATCCAGTATGGTTTGCTGGTGGTTTAGTTGCAAAGTTATCCATAGCCCTCCTAATCTAATACCAGTAACATGATGGCTGATGGTGGGGAAATCTGCTGACTGAAACAGTCCTCCTACAAAAATGCCAAGGTAGAAGGTATGAACTTGCTGTGGTCAGCTGCCTTCAGGCTCTGTGCTAGTGAAGCCTGAGGCCCAAGCTCAAATGTCCCCTGGACGTCTAGGCATGTACCTGTCACCAGGTAGGACCCCCTCCACCCTTTCTGATTTAAGTTCCCACTCTCAGGATTCTGGGCATGCCTCTCGGGCATCCCCCAGGAAATTGCTAGCATTCCGAGAACACCTCAGGGAAATGCTTAGAGTCATTAAGTGGAAAAATACATCAGTAAAATGGACACTTCCAGTAAAGCTTTAAGAGCCGATTCAGTTAAAAACAACAGCATCGCACACTTTTAAAAAACTTTCATTTTAGACACAGCTGAAGCCAGACATATCAAGAGTACTTCTCCCTAGAAGGGTTTAGAGAAACGGGCCTGAATAAGATGGAAAAATCTACCATGTGGAGACTAAGCCCGGTAGAGAGAGAACACATCACCACATACACATTTAATAGACAAGGAGAGAGAGCCTACTGTAAATTCTTTATTTTTACATATACACACAGGACACAAAAAAGTACAATTAAACAAAGGTTTCTTAGATCACATAATCTTGTTTTTCCAAGCAAGTATGGACTTAGGTGCAAAGCAAGCTCAAATACTCTGATCCCTCTTAGCTCCAAGATTTAGACGGGAAATAACTGAAATTAAAAATATTGTGCCAGATGCCACAAAAGATATACCCTACAGACTACAGGAGGGATCCTCAGACACAGAGCCTCATCAGAAGGAGGTTCTTAATCTATTTTCTAACTGAACGTCCCTCTGATGAATAAATGCAGACCAAATTGTTAGAAGGCTGACAGGTAGGAGGAGATGTTGGTACCATGCAGCCTTCACACTAGTCGACAAATCACCCAATGGTTCTGGCCATAAAGTCGAGAATAATCTTGTTTCTGTTCCCAACAAAGCATTTTGAGGGAGTGCTTAAATTTAGTTATTGGTTTTCCTTAATACTTGTCAGCAAAAAGCCTGAATTCACTGTAATAAAGCAAGTAAGCAAGAACTGGCAAAATGTCAACCCTGCCTACCCAAAGCACTTCCTTTTCCTGTCCTTTAGGGAATTCTGAGCCAGAAACTCACCAGCACGTAACCTCAATGTACTTGAACCACTGGGCAGCTAACTCCGGCCTCCTGGCACTGGGGTTACCCAGACACAGAATACAATCTACACCCCATCCTTGGTCCACAGTCAGGGACTCTGAAAACAGAGCCTGTGCCCAGTGTCTGCCCTCATCATTTCTGCTAACAGTCTGTTTGCTGAAAGGCCCAACGGAGTGGGTGTTAACTCAAGTTTTGTGCTGCCATCTGGGCCCCAGGCCAAGATTTAGGCAACAATTCCTGATAATCAAAATAGAGCAAATGAACCTTCTTTGGCTGATAAAAGGGGGCTCTTCTCTTTTCTCTCTCTTAGGTCCAGAAGCTGGGATTTAAACACTGTCCCTGAGAAGGGAAGGAAAGGGGCCGATCTGAAGGGTGCGTGGGGCATTTAATTTAGTAAACACTGTAACCTACCAAAGGGTGAAGCAGGTTCTTGGAACATTTGGGCCAGAGAACTGCGGCTGCCCCAGCTAAGGGGAATGACCTCTGATGGGTGCCCAGGGTCTTGGGAGCATGTTGCCTTACCTTTCCTTAAATTATGTTAAGCCTCCAACCTTTGAGAATACTGAAAAACTTGGCATTCCAAGCATCACATTTCTCATTTCACAAGCCTGCACCTGGAAATTTTTCTGATTGGATTGCTGGGTTGTCAGCTCAGGCTACAGGAATCCTCTATTAAAGGGACAGAAATAGCCAAACCGAATCCTTCTGCACGACAAAAAAAGTGGCTCACGCCTTTCTGGCATGGCAGTGGCTTTTCCTACTATCTGTAAAGATGCCGCTATTCTGCCGCCAACCTCTCTGGAGAAACAAGCCAGTGTGTAAACAAGGGGTGGCTTCTGGGGGTGGAGTAGGGGAGGGTTGGAATCCAGCTTCAGTTTGGGATGGAGAAACGTGCCACAGTGCACCTGGGCTTTATGATCATTTCAAGGAGCAACACAGTGCTCACTCCCAGGTGTGTATATAAATAACAGTTATACTGGGATTTTTCTGATAACAACTAGCTTGAAGAGACCCTTCTGCCCACACTCCCTGGTTTTATGTCAGTTAAAATTCCCCTCCCTTTGCCATCCCTGCTGTTTGCTGTTTCTTTGTTAGCTGTCATTGATGGAGAGAAAAGAATTAACCTTGACATAATTCCTGTTGTTTTTCCAACATTTTTTTCAAGGGAGAAGAAGGAAGACTAAGCCTTCAGATGCGAAGACTAATTTACCAGACTTCTTGGGATCTCAGGATAAATTTAAGTTTCCCCTCTTCCCCTCAACCTATACATCACAGAGGCCTAGGCAGCCTTCTCAAGAGACTCTGCAAAGAGCCGATGCCCCAACATAAGATACCCTGTTTCTCAAGGGACTGCTGTCCCTTGAGATTTGAGGCTATTCGGTCAATAATAATCCAAGTTTCCCTCTATTTCCCAGCACTGTCTGATCAGAGACAATTCCCTGTGCCTGTTAAGAATGGAACCAGCAAACAGGACTTCTGTAAAGGCAGTTCACACGAACCCCTGGGGAGGGGAGCTTTCACACATCATACCCCCAAAGCCTGATACAACCTCCCATCTGGAGGCCCTCTGGATCCTGCTAGCTAAGAGGAGACCACAGACAGAAAACAAATGAAGCCTCACACAGGAGAGGTACATGAAAAGACTCCTGGCCACTCCCTTCACCAGTGCCGAGGTCAGCTTTTAAAGCCAGAACGCTCCAGTTCAAACTGGCCACAAGCCTGTGCCGACCATGCGGCTGCCAGAGGCCAGGCTGCGGCGTGCTGGACCTTCGACCTCGTCACTCCCATTTGTGGATCCTGACGGCCTTCTCTGTCAGGGTGGCCAAGTAGCTGTGCTCGTTGAATTCGAAGGGGCAGAGTGCCAGCACAGGCTGGTCTGCCTGGAGTTTCTGGAGAAGGCTGCCGCTTCCTGCATCCCAGATCTGAAAGAGAAGAGGCAGACGTCAGGCAGCCGGCATCAAACCTGGGAGCAGGGGCAGGCGACGGGAAGAAGCGCAAGGTGCTGCTATCTCTAAGTGAGAGGGCTGTCTGAGGGCCACCTGCCTAGTGGGATCAGGGTAAGGAGCAGAAAGACACACAGGCAGGTGGGTCACCCAGTAAGGGTTTGCTATCCCCAGACAGGCACCGCGGACACAAATGTAGGCAAAAAAGGGAGTCCTTCCTCTCCAGGAGCTTCCATTCTAATGGAAAAGGCCAGCCCACTAAGGGGAGGTCGCTGGGGAGAGTTGGATCCCAAGTGAGCCTGGCCTGGTGCCTCAGGACACAAGGTCTGGGCCAGGGGCTCACCCCTAGGGCGGCAGGCGATGACAGACTGAGACTGCAGAAGGATCTGAGAATCCCGGGGCAGGGAGGTTCCTTCTGCCCCTCGCTGCTGCTGCCACCTCAGCGGTGGCCGGGACGCCATCATCCATAACCCACCTTTCTTCTCAGTAGTGTCAGGAAGAAGTTAGAAAAACTGGGAAATAACTCCCAGCTCTCACTCGCTATCCAAAGCCCAGTGTTTTCTTCTGGATGAGGAATCGAAGGTGCACGGAAAGATCGAGGGCTTAAAACCCCACCCTCATCCCTCAGGTCCAGCAGAGTGAGCTGGGGCCCAGACACTGATGCTTCTCAGACACCAAAGGAAGCGGCCATGCACTGCAATCCAGGTGACCTTTGGACAGTAGGGGCCTGCTCTGCATTTGGAGAAGCTGGTTACCGCAATGTGACCCCATTAACAGTACAAGCATGACGGGCAAGCTTGTGTTTACAAACGTCTACAGGTGCTTCTTGGAAAGATTTCTGAAATGACTAAGTTTTACACAACTATAAAACCACTTTCCTCCTCTTCTTACAGGGTGTGGGCAGGGTGGAGAGAGGAGTACAAGAAATCTGCCTCCAGAACTCCTGAACGGGTGAAAAGGAAGCAAGTTTGCAGAAGACAAATTTCCAACTGCTTCTTTGAAGATAAACTCGAGCCTCCTCTGAACCCGTTCCTGGATGTGCAGGTGACTCACTTCAGGCTGTGTTACCCCCTTTGGGAGCTTACAGCAATAAACTCTGGCAGGTAAAAGGTACTGGAAATATCTGGCTCTGTGGCCCCTGGAAACAGGCTACTTGTGAAGCTACTTCCTAAGGCACCGCGGGGCTACGATCCGCCTTGGTACAAGGTGTACCCACAGTGACAGAAACCGAAAATCCCTGAAGTGTGAGGTGGAGAAGGGTCTCAGATGACTCTGACAGCTCCCCCGGGAGTCCCAGAGCTCCACCAAGCGCTGACTTGGCTGCTGGCATCCTGAAACGTCCGCACAACCAAACACGTACCTTGAGACCCGTGAGGCAAAAGGCTCCTGATGTCTCTCCCCCAGTGCTTGTTTGCATTTAGAACAAAGAGCTTCCACGTCAAGAATTAACCTTCATTCACAAAGTAGTGATGAGAAACAGAAAGCTGTCTATTTGCTGTATCGAGGTAGGCTGCAGGCCTATATGACCGAAATGCAGTGGCAAAATTACCTGAGATTTAAACCTAGGAATCAGGAATAATGGTTCCTGGTCTGGAGCTCAAACCTGAAATTGTTGTTCTGGTTTTTAATAACTTACCATGGCAGAATTTGAAGATTCATCACTAGCACACACCAGTATGCTGCCATTTTCCTCTGGGCTCTGGAAGATGGCATTTTTGGTCAGCAGTTTGCAGGTGGGTCCAGCGAGGAATGTCTGAATAGGCCGGCATGAGTAGACTGGCTCAGTAGCTTCACTTAAACTGCAGGTCAATTCCAGCAACACACTGTGCACGGAGCTATGGTTTTTATCTAGGGGAGGAAGAAATAGCACATTGCAAGCTGGATCTGTCCCACGGAGCACAGTCCTGCACACGCAGAGCCAGAGGACACCCTCCGAGAAGCAACAAGGCCCAACAGTGCAGCCCAAATGACCAGAGAGCAAGAGGCATCTCCAGTCCTAGCCGAGGCATCATCTCTCCTACAAACAGCCTTAGTCATGGGAATTTGTCCCTCTAAAGGGCTCCTTTCATCTGTGACCTGTCTGCACTACTACAGAGAAGAGAAGTTATTTTACAAGGGGAACAGCAAAGCCAGCTTTTACTGGAAGACAAACAAAACACACGTTCTCCCTTCTGTTCCCTCTCAAAGTCAATCTTCCAAATGCTCAGGGAAGGTGTCTTTGCTAAATGTTCTACAATGGCTAGAAGTCTCTTAGATGCAGAAAGCCCCAGCACAAGGGACAATTAACAAGGCAAGAAGTTGCCATGGTTCTGAAATTTTTCCATTTACAATATATTATGCCCACTCCCAATTAGCAGTGGCTTAGGAATTTAAAAAGCCTGCCTCACTAACAACCTGCTATCTGTAATAATAAGTCAGAAAGGGGAAGGGAGAAAAATTTGGAACTCAAAATCTTATAAAAATGAACGCTAAAATTTTTTAACATGTAACTGGGGAAAAAATAAAATACTATTTAAATTAAAAAAAGTTGGCATTTACAGAGCTATATTTCTGGTCAGAAGGTTCTTGTTTAATCACGTCACAGGCAGCTCTCCAGGGCCCCACCCTATCACCCCTGTTTATGAAATGACTGCTCAGGGCAGTACTGGCTTAAAAAGAAGTCGTGCCTCTTCTTAAGTCCCCACTTCACTCCCTTATTCGAGTACCTTCATTATTGGTAGAATCTGGTCACATTCACACTGAGGAGCAGGGGAAAAGGAGATCTGTCTTCATGCAATGGAATTTTGACCCCCTGTTTTATTGGACATGGCAGAGACAGAAAGGGAGCCCCAGGGCCCACTTCTAGGTTTAACCTTCATTATTGGCATTTCCTCCATTCCGTTCTCAAGTTCAGCCCCGACTGTAGCATCTGCTGACTTCCAAGAAGCCACCACTTACTGGGCCGGTAGGTGACAAGGCAGTGTCCGCTGCGGCTCTCTGCCTGCAGGTCAGTGCAGCCGCCCGGCTCCAGAGGTAGGCTGTGAGGGTCAAAGCAGTCACCGCTGTTGTGCTGCCAGAAGCAGGCACCCTCTAAGCTTCCGGCCAATATCCCGCCAGCGGGAAATGCCGTCGAGGCCATCTGCGGTAAATAGGAGAGCGAAACCAAAGGACACCTGAAGAAGGACAAACAACAGTCACCGCTCTGTCCTCGTGGAGCCTCCGCCTCTCAAGGCTGGCCCTCAGAGAGCACGAGCGGATTCAGCGAGGGCCAGGAAAGCAGGGAAGGCAACATACACAGGAGAAAATACACAACAGATACCATGGCAACAATGTCTCCCTAAAACAGGGATTCTTCACCCTTCTTCGGGGGACAGATCCCCTGTCTCAAAATGATGCAAGCTGATGCAAGAGATGGACAGCTGGGAAATATTCTGACTCCTAAAAGTTTGTAGAACTTCAGAAGTCTTTGAAAAACAGTCAAGCAAAAAAGTTAAATACTTAAAGTGATTCTGATTCCTGAAATCAAGATCAGCTATCTGCTAACAAAATGTGAATTCTGTTGCCTAAATCCCAAAGTGACTCTTCAGTGTGTTTCTGAAAACACAATATCCCGTCAAAACTATGTTTTTAAAGAATGGCAGGAATGATGATAAGTTTCATCTAGAGGTTAGTAAAAATAAAAGATGTGTTTTTCCCATTCGTTCACAGATACTCCCAAGGGCTCTGCTAGGTCTGCAGACCCCAGGTTAAGGACCAAACCAAAAGACTTTTAAGTCTCAGTAGGACATTTCTTTTCTCATTTTCATAATAAACCTAATAGCCCACAATACAGATAAAAACAAACATACAAACAGGTAATACAATTTTACATGAAGTGAACAAATCAGAAACATGTTTGTGGTGTCCTTTTCACAACCTCAGAGTCACCTTTGATTTTTACCTCTCAATCCAATCAGGTGCCACGGCTGGTTGATTCTACCTCCATCTAACCCATCCCCTCCACCCACACAGCCACCCCTGTCCCGTTCAGGTCCTATCCATTCTCTTTGGGAGTCTGGCTGTAGGCTGCTAATCGCCTCGCTGCTGTCTGGGGTCTTTCCCCTCTGCTATCCATCCTCCACAGCGACTTCCTAAAGCACAGGCTTGTGCTCCAATGGTTTCCCCCTGCCTCTAGGAGAAAAGACAAACTCCTGCTGCTCGACATTCTCATGCCAGTCTTACTGCACGTTGCCTTACACACCCTCAAGGGCATGCCAAATGGGCTCTATCTCCTATCTCTACGCCTGCACAAGGTGCAGACTCACGTCCATAGTGTGGAATCCCCGGCCTCCCTCCAAGAAGTCCACCCGGATTCCCCTGGGGGTGGGCACCCTCTCCCTGGGATGTCGCTCTAGTGATCTGAACTGGCCTTCCTCTTAATAAAGATCGGTGCTTCAGTGGCAGGCTACACTCTGCCTCTACCCCTTTCCCTCCTCTTGGTGTCCCTTTGTTTTTCAGAAACACACTGAAAAACCACTTAGGGATTTAGGCAACAGAATTCTCCCAGGGATTTCACATTTTGTTAGCAGATAGCTGATCTTGATTTCAGGAATCAGAATTACTTTAAGTATTTAACTTTTTTTTTCTTTTTAGGCAATTGGGGTTAAGTGACTTGCCTAGGGTCACACAGCTAGTAAGTGTCAAGTGTTTGGCCCGAGGCTGGATTTGAACTCAGGTCCTCCTGACTTCAGGGCTGGTGCTCTATCCACTGCCACCTAGCTGCCCCAGTATTTAACTTTTTTGCTTCGTGGCTTGACTGTTTTTCAAAGACTTCTGAAGTTCTGAGGTTCTTTTGGGAGTCACAATATTTCCCAATTGTCCTACTCTTGCATCAATACAAAATACTGAATTTTGCAAGGTAACTCTGAATACACAGCCCATTGATTCTCTTTTTGAGGCAACTGGGGTTAGGTGACCGGCGCCAGACAGCGAGTAAGTGTCTGAGGATGCATTTTTAACTCAGATCCTCCTGACTCCAGAGCCGGTGCTCTATCCATTGTGCCACCTAACTGCCCCTCCATTGATTCTTAATACTGTAATAAACAGCACGTAATTAGTAGTAGGTATTAATATTGTAGAGGTTTTAATTCCAATTTTCACCAATCATCTCTTGTTTTCCTTCAAAAGTCTTCTGCAAACATAATTAATGCTGCATGGTTAGGTAATTTCTAGAAAAAAAATATGGCAGTATTTCCCCCTGATTATGTTAAGAGTTTAACTATTTAGGCACTGAGGTGTTTAGTTGAACTTTTGGATGCCTCCTTGACAAGGGGCGATGGATTCCTTTTATATGTATATTGCTGCTTATTTTTGCTGGAGCTGAGAGATTTTTTCCAATGACTTCTTGGAATATCTTCTTCAGATTATTCTATCTGTCCACATCATCAGGAGTACCAGTGATTGGAGACTCCTGCCTCCATCCATCTTCCACCTCTCCTCCAAAGCCGCCACTTCCTTCTCCTAAGACACGGGGAAGGTCTGGAGCTGTGCCCTTGCTGGTACAGATGAGGAAACTCCACCTTCCAAAGCAGGCCCAGACCTAGTCTGCACTTCGAGAGTTCAGAAATTTCCCAGAGACATCCAATGGCTTGTCTGAGGCCTCCTGGGTTCCAAAGCTGAGTCCTTCATCCTCTGAGCAACGGCTGCCACTCAAATCGGCATAAGTGTTCAATTCTTTGGACAATTCAGTCATTTGGAGCTTGAATTTCTTCCTGTACATATGTGTTGGCAGAAATCCTCGTTTTCTGTTATGGCAGCACTTCTATGACTCTGTGAAATGTTCTTCTTAATTTGTCATTTTCTTTACTATTTCTTCCCAATCTTTCTTGAAAAAAGTAACTTTTAATTCGAGCTTTGTTTCTTCCCTGACATTTCTTACTTTATTCAAGTTCTTCTAGTGAGCTGGTCTTGTTCCCTCTTTATTAGATATAACTTTTGCTTACCTTCTTCAAATTCCATTGCAGAAAGGGGCTCTAACCTTTCTGGGCCACAGAGCACCTTCTCAGAATCTTGCTGCTAAATGCACAAAATAAAATCCAGAGGATGACGGAGACCAATGATGATGAAAGACAGTTCCTGGCCCCTGGTGAAGCCCCCTGCCCACAGCAGAGACCATTCACCTGTGGGGGCAGCCTGGGCAGGGCCTTGTGGTACCTCCCCTTTTCAGCTGCTCCGTTTGAGGGTTTTTGGTTGTTAGATCAGCACTCTCCTTCACCGTTGCTCACAGTCCATCTTGGTTGGCTTCTGTCTTTTTTCAAAGCCGTTTTTCTTTGCTGTTGTTTCTACTTGTGAGAGGCACATGAAAAGCCCAGCTCCCTTTGAACAATCTCTCACTCCATCATCTTGCCTGAAAAACCCAATCCATTTATGCCAAATAACAACCGACACGATCAAAGTCATGGAAAATAAAAGGATGTGGACAACCTCTCAAGGTACTGAGCCGATAATGCCTCCCTAGACATCAGAGTAGGCAGCGCAGTGCTAACAGTGAGATGTGGACCTGAAGCCTGGCCCTGGGCATGTCACCTCCCCTCGGTAGGCCTCAGTTTATTCATCTGTAAAATGAGAACTTTTTTTTCCCCTTAAATGTGAACATTTTACAAGACAGTTACTGCTCTGGTGCTAAACTGCATAATCTTGTGTTGCACTGAGCTATCCAAGCTGCCCCTAGGAGAGACGAGGATGCTTACATCCACAGTCCTAATCAGGGAGCTATGAAGGCATTAGAGGGGTCCCAGTAACTCCCCAAGACTGTCTCCCAAGTTGCGGAGGTGTCAGGATCCTCCATCACTGAGGGTGTACCCCCAGCCACAGACCCATCAAGTGCAGCTCACACATAAGAGGCACTTAACACCTGCCCAGTCACCCATCATGAATAATAATCAAACATGTCAGCAAAGTGCTAAGTATGGGCTGGCCTCTGGGTATGACCACACTCTGAAATCAGTCCAGAGCAGACAACAGCTCTTAGGGACTCCGGCCTGCATAGCGATTCACCCAATTCCCTGGCCTTTCCTTAAACAGCCCTTGTGGAATCCCCCCAGGTCTGTGAGACTCTCTCAGCAAAATTCCTTGATGCTGCCGCCTGTGAACAGTGCCCCCCCTTCCCTTTCCTCCACCTATCTTCCAGGTACTGGTGGTGCCACAGTGCATACAGCACTGAGCCTGGAGTCAGGGAGACCCAAGTTCAAATCTGGCTGCTGACACTTCCCAGCTGTGTGACCCTGGGCAAGTCATTTTACCGGTTCGCCTCAAATTTTCCTGCTACACCTCAAGAGGTTGTAATAAAGACTGAAAGAGAATACTTGTAAAAGATACCCAGCACACAGTGAGGGCTATTATTAAATGCCCTCTGTGCTCTGGCTTTCACCTCATCCTTCCTGACCTCTCTGCAGCCTCTGAGACTGACTGTAGGTGACGCTGTTCTCCTGGATCGTCACAAAGTTCTATGAAGGGTGAGCTACTATCATCACGAATAAGTGTGGGGTCCATGGTAAGGTAAATTTAGGCAAATATGATTTCTGGCTTGGCTGACACCAAAGTTATCCATTGTGCCATCTTTCTGCCCATCCCTTTCATAGAAGGGGCCCAACAGGTATCAAAGTAGATACTTCTTAATTGAGATAAATTCCAATCAGATCAGTTTTGCTGGGAAGTTGCTAAGATAAAAGTTATTATTTTACAGTTTCCAAAGAAAGCTCCACAGTAATAATGAATTCCTCCTCCTCTGCTTAGCTATTCTGAGGCAACATGAAGAAATAGCCGTCATTCTTAAGCGGAAGATACATTTGGAAAAACTGGACAAGGATTCTGATTCCTAAGTCTTTAAAAAGCCCCCCAGCCTCAGGGCACATTTGAAAAAACACTAGGCAGAGACAATACAGCCATGGGTTCTCTTCCCACCCACGTGACGGCTGCTTCTCCTGCTGATTCATCATCCACGCTGCCTCCACTGATGGAGGGGGTCCCCCAGGGCTCTGGCTGAGGCTCCTCTTCTCTTTTCTCTGTACGTGTTCCCACGTGGTGGTTCGATGATCATCTGTAGGCAGATGCAATCCCAGACCCATCTACCCATCCCTAAGTCTCCTGAGCTCCAGGCCTGTTCCACAAATGATTAATTAGACATTTCAAAGTGGGTGTCCCAGAGCCCTTGAAAATTCAACATATGCAAACCAGAAGTTGTCACCTCGCCCTGTTTTTAGAGAGGCACAAAAGCTCACAACTTAGCCCCTTGAGACTCCCTATTCTTAGGCCCCTCACAGACACGACCAATTGCCCAATCTGTTCGTTCTAGCTCCACCCCACCCCTCCTCTCCATTCACACACCACCCAAAATGAAGCCAGGCCCTCGTTGCCTCCTTCTGGACCGCAGCCAAAGACGAGCTTCTTTTCAGCCTCAAGTCCAATCATATCCATCCCAGAAATGCCAGCGACTCCCTCAGGCCTCTAGGTCCAGGGCTGGCATTTATATCTCCTTCTTATCTGTGATCCAGACAGCCATCCTGTTCCCCCCATCCCCAGGCCAGGCCAGGGGCATACCCTCTTCTAGTATCTGGCGATTGCCAAGAGCTCACATATATTGTGAAGCCCACCAAGCTTTCCCCGATGTGAAGTAGGAAGCATCTTCTTGATGTAAACACAATGCTCATCAGAGCACCTGAGGGCTACTCTCTGATGACAGTTTACTACTACTGAAAGCTGCCCTTATGCAGTAGGGAGATGTTGCAATGGACAGAGCCTGGAGTCAGGAAGACCTGAGTTCAAATCCGGCCGCAGGCACATGCTGTATGACCCTGGGTAAGTCATTTAAAAAAAAAAAAAAAAAAAAAAAACTCCATTTGCCTCAGTTTCCTCATCTGTAAAATGGAGATAATATACCTCCTAGGGTTGTTGTAAGGATCAAGTGTGATAATAATTGTAAAGCAATGAGCACAATGTCTAGCACATAGCAATGCTATAAAAATGTTAACTATTATTAATATTATTATAAATGATGCAGTGATAAATACAAAAGTAACAATATGGAGGAAAACCACGAAGAGAAAGAAAACAGAAGTAACTCTCCTACCTGGATTTTTGAGGAGCTAACTCCTGGACATGGGAGTGTGTGTCTCTCAAATCATACACCAAAATTGAGCCGTTGACCAGCCCAGCATAGATGTAATTCTCATCATCGAGGCACCAGCAGCAGCTCCAGACTGCACGGCCAGTGTGATATGTCTGGACCACCGTGTTAGTCTCTAGGCTTTGGGGAAGAGGGGAAAGGGATGAAAAGAGACACACCTTGAAATGAATCCTATGCATTGAGCACACTGTAGGGATGCAAAGAAGACTGTCAGTCATCAACGTGCCTCATTAAGCCCACCCTGAGAAACTAGATTCATTCTCATTTTCTCCTGAGAGATCCTCCCCCAACTATCCCAGGACCCCTTTTATTTCAAAACAAATGAATTAGGTTTTTCATTAGTACAGATTTCCCTTCTCACGTGTCATACAGAGATCAAAGGGTAAGATGAAGAGAATGAGGCATTTTAAAACCATCAGCATGTGATGAATTCACTGGACGGTAGCATCCTAAGAAAGCAGCCTAGGCTCAGGGGAAATGCGCCCGCTCGTTCTGAAGCTCCTCTCTTCTCCCAGAACACCGTACCTTGTCAGCTTGACCGTGTTGTCCAGTGCAGCGGACAACAGCCAGCTATTGGGCCTGCTGTTGAAGGCCAGCCCCCGAATCTCTCGGCTGTGCATCGGAACGTACTGACTGCTCTTCATGTCTGCCATACTGATCATCTTCACACCAAAGCCTACCGAAGAAAAGAAGAGGGAAAGCCCACCGAAGAGAAGCACTTCTGCCCTGCCCCTTTAACCAGGACGCTCCACACATCAGCCTCTAGGTTGTCTGAACACCAATGTGGGAGAAGAGGATTCGGGTGTCACCAGAGTGGAGGGGAATGAGAGGAGCCGGAGAAACCAACAGCAATAGAGACTTTCAAAAGGCCAAGGAGCGTGTTTGGTAAAGCCTCCTCAATAGAAATTACTTAGGAAAGAACTTGCTAGTTGATAAAAGCTGCAGGAGGAAAAAAAAACCTGGAAAGCAGACTGGCAAAAATGGGTAAGTGACCGGCATGCTAAAGATCACATCATAAAGAATGAGAAGAGAAGCAGGCCTGTGTGTAGCTATGTACACCTCCATAGCTACGGGCAGGCGAGGTATTCTGAACCCAGCAAGGGATGAAGGCAATCACAAAACCAGGTCATGCTGATTGCACGAAATTGAAAAGCTTCTGCAAAAAAATGAATGCTTCCAGGATAAGGAAACAGTTGAATGGGATAGGAAATTTTTGTATCACATTTCTCAGATAAAGGTTTGTTATCTGAGATATACGGTACAGTAAGGTGGTGCAGTGGATTCCAGGCCTGGAATCAAGAGGACCTGAGTGAAAATCTCTGAAAATGTCAACATGAGTGCAATACGGAAGTTCTTAATGCAGCTGACATTGCTGTTTCCTTTAATTCATAACTAATCTTGATGATAAATCAGAGGACATGGGGCTCTTATCCTGAGGACATCCTATGGCTCAATCCCCTTCAATTCTGGGGGACCCAGCTAGGAAGTGGTATGGAGAAATGGCACAAGAGCAGTAAGGATTCAGGTTGAGTAGAACCTCGATTTCACAATGCCCTGGACTGTAAGTTTCTATGGTAGGAGCCACCTCTTATTTATCTTTGTCTTAAGTCTCAATATCTATCATATCAGCTTACTAAATGTTCATGCATCCATTCTTGAGCTTTCCAGTTAAGGAGATACAGTGAAAGGATCAAAGGAGCGCACATAGCCCTCAAAAAAAAAAAAAAAGAATGAATAAATAAATAAATAAATAAATAAAGGGACAACAACAAAGTGAAACATCAAAGGGAAGAAAATTGGTTTTTAAAAAACCACAAGAAAATTGAAATCAGCCAAAACAGAAAATAAGCAAAGCGAAGAAAAGTGGCAGTACAATATAAAAATACTGTAGAGCAATTAAACCAGCTCAATTACCAAAGCAATACATATGAAAAAGACACAGTCATATTAAAATGGGCAAATGGTACATTCAAAGAAATTAGGTACAAATAAATGCTGGAAAGAAAACCTTAAGGCTAAAGTAAAGACCTTGAAGAATTAAAAAAATTTCAGGGGGAAATCAAGCTAGAATTAAAAGATGCTTAAAAAAAATAAAAAGATTGAGAGCAAATAAGAAAACAACCAATATGGAGACTCTAAATAGAATGCCCCCCCCGCCATGAACAATTCCACAATGGACAAAAGACTTATTACATCAGAAAACAGAGCTGTGCATGACACAGAGCAGCTGGAAATAAAATCTTAAAAAAAGGAATAATCATACTTTTAGGGCTAAGATGGTGGAGTAAAGGCAGCCACCCAATGAACCTTCCCAGCATTTCCCTCCAAACAACTTTAAGGCCTCAAATCAAATTTTGGAGTAGCAGAGCGAGAAAAAGGTTGGGGTGAGACATTTTTCTAGCCTACAACAACTTGGAAGGAGAGGTCTGTGACACTGGGGTGGGGGCCCGGCTCAGAGTGCAGACATAGGCAGGCCTTGGAGGCAGCTGCAACAGCGATAGCAGCAGCTTTAGGAGCTCTCAGTCCAGGCAGAGTAAAGCAGTTGGATAACTAGTCAGGAAGAGATTACAAGGGACCCACCCTTTGCTGGGACTGGGTACAGCTGGCACCGACTGGCAACTCTACTGCCCATACACAGTTCTGGGTCACAGTTCCAAGGCAAACAGCGTACAAGTACAGCTACAAGGCAGCCGTGGACTTTCCTGGGTAAAGACCAGAGCACAGACCAAGGGAGCAGTGACCACACCACCTTGGAAGCACTGAAAATTTGCATGCTCCCAGAAATACCTCTGAAAGTAGCAGCATGAAAAAGCCTGAAACTTGGGATAGTACCTTCCCACCCTGGGAACAGGGCTTAACTTTAATATAAAACTCAAAGTCAAGAAATAAGTTGGAAAAATAAGCAAACAATAACAACAAAAAAGAACTTGACCATAAAGAGCTACTCAGATATGAGAGAAGACCAAGATACAAACTCAGAAGACAACAACACGAAAACAGCTATTAGCAAAGGCACAAAGAAAAATACTAATTGGACACAAGCCCAAAAAGAATTTATGGAAGCGTTAAAAGTGGTAGATGAAAAAAAATGGGAAAAGAAATGAGAGTGATGCAAGAAAATTATGAAAAGAGAATTAACAGCTTGGTAAAAGAGGCACAAAAATACTGAAGGCTATATTATACCTTAAAATACAGAGTTGGTCTAATGTTAAAGGGGCACAAAAATTCACTGAAGAAAATAACTCCTTGGGGCAGCTAGGTGGTGTAGTGGATAGAGCACCGGCCCTGAAGTCAGGAGGATCTGAGTTCAAATGCGGCCTCAGACCAAACACTTGACACTTACTAGCTGTGTGACCTTGGGCAAGTCACTTAACCCCGATTGCCCCACTAAAATTAAAAACAAACAAACAAACAAAAAAAAAAACCCAAAAAACAAAACCAAAAGAAATCATAAGAAAATAACTCCTTAGAAAGCATAATAGGCCAAATGGAAAAGGTGTTATAAAAATTCACTGAAGAAAAGGACTCCTTAAAAAGCAGAATTAGCCAAATGGAAAAAGAAGTATAAAAGCTCACTAAAAAAAATTCCTTAAAATTAAAATTCCTGGAAAAATAAATAAATAAATAAATAAATAAATAAAATTAAAATTCCTTAAAAAACAGAATCAACTGACCTGGAAAATAGATTGAGGAAAGATAATTTAAGAATCACTGGCCTTCCTGAAAGCCTTGATCAAAAAAAGGGCCTAGACATATTTCAAGAAATTATCAAGGAAACTTGCACCAATAGCTTAAATCCAGAGGGTAAAACAGAAATTGAAAGAATCCACTAACCACCTACTCTTGAAAGAGATCCTAAAATGAAAACTCCCAGAAATATTATAGCCCAAATCCAGAGCTCCCAAGTCAAGGAGAAAATATTACAAGCAACCAGAAAGAAACAATTTAAATATTGTAAAGTCACGGTCAAGACCACACAAGATTTAGCAGTTTTCATATCTGAAGAGCAGGGGGCTTGGAATATGATATGCCAGAAAACAAAGAATCTAGGATTACAACCAAGAATAACAACCTATCCAGCAAAACTGCGTATAATCCTTCAAGGGAAAAAGTAGACATTTAATGAAAGAGGACAGAGGACTTTTAAGCATTCCTCATGAAAGGAACAGAGCTGAATAGAAAATTTAACAAACACAAGACTCAAGAGAAACATAAAAGGGTAAACATGAAGGAGAAATCATATGGGAGTCAATAAAGTTAAACTGTTTACATTCTTATATGGAAAATCATACATGTAATTCCTAAGAATTTTACCATTATTAGTAGCAATTAGGAGTTTACATAGACACAGGGCATGAGTATGAGTTGATTATGTTGGGATGGTCTCCAAAATAAGAAAGGGGTGAGAGAGGGATGTACTGGGAGAAGGGAAAAAGGAAAGGTAGAAGGGGGAAAATATTTTCACTTAAAAGAGGCAAACAGGAAGTGAAGTAGAAAATTGGGGTAGTGGTGGTCAGTAATGCTTGAACCTCAGTTTCACCAGAATTGGTTCAAAGAAAGAAGAATATATATACACAGAGTTGGGTATAAAAATTTATTTTTTCCAATAGAGAAGTAGGAGGAGAAGAAGATAAGAGAAGGAGAAGTGATGAGAAAAAGGAGGATAGGTTAAGGAAGGCAGCGGTCAGAAGCAAAACAGACTTTTAAGAGAAGGGACAAGATAAAAAAAGAGAGAGAGAAAGAGAAGAAATGAGATAGAGAGAAATACAGTTAGTAATCATAACTGAATGTGAATGGGATAAACTCACCCATAAAACAAAAGCAGACAGCAGAATGGATTAGAAACCAGAATCCAACAATATGTTGTTTACAAGAGACAAACTTGCAACAGAAAGACACACAGAGTTAAAATAAAGGGCTGGAGAAGAATCTAATCCGCTTCAGCTAAAGTAAAAAAAGGCAGAAGGAGCAATCATGATCTCAGACAAAGCAAAAACAAAAACTGACCTAATTAAAACGGATAATCACGGAAACTACATTTTGCTAAAAGGTACCATAGGCAATGAGTATCAAAAATTTTTACAGCAAATTTCTCTAATAAAGGTCTCATTTCTCAGATAGGTAGGTAACTGAGTCAAATTTATAAAAAAAAGAAAAAAGAGAGAGAGAGAGAGAGCCATTTCACAAATTGATAAACTGTCAAAGGATACAAATAGGCAGTTTTCAGAAGTAATCAAAGCTATCTATGATCATATAAAAAAATACTCTAACTCACTATTGATTAGGGAAATGAAAATTAAAACAAGTCTGAGGTACCACCTCACACTTATAAGAAATGACAAATGCCAGAGAGAATGAAGAAAAAATAGGTACACTAATGAATTACTGGTGGAATTGTGAATTGGCCTAATTGTGCTGGAGAACAATTTGGAACTATGCCCAAAGGACTATGAAACTGTGCATACCCTCTGACCCACCACTACTAGGTCTATATCCCAAAGAGAGCAAAGAGAAAGGAAAAGGAGCTACATGTACAAAAAATATTTATAGCAGCTCTTTTTGTGGTGGCAAAGATTTGGAAATTGAGGGGATACCCACCAATTGGGGAACAGCTGAACAAGTTGTGGTCAATGATTGTGATGGAGTACTATTGTTCTACAAGAAATGACGAGTGGGATGATTTCAGAAAAACATGGGAAGACCATATGCAGAGTGAAGTAAGCAGAACTGGGAAATCACTGTGTACAATGATTAACAGCAGCGTTTGTAATGATAATCAACTGTGAAAGGCCTAGCAGCTCTGATCAATACAGTGCCAACACAATTCTAAAGGACTTATGATGATAAAACGCCATCCATGTTCAGAGAGAGAACTGATGAACTGCGTGCAAAGTGAAGTGTAATTTTCTCACTTTATTATTTTTTCCCAGTATGGCTAATATGGTAATTATGTTTTGCATGATCATAATGCTTTCTTTCTCAGTCAGTGGGGGAAGGACAGGAGTGAAGAAGAGAATTTGGAACTCAAAATTTTAAAAAATTTAAAAAATTAATTAAAAAAAAAAGAAAAACTGTACAAGTGACAGACCAAGAGGAAAGATCATGAGGCAATAATCTGTCTAGGGTTACTAATATCCATGTCCCAGAAAATCTGGGAAAAAAGAACATGAACATTTTGTTTCAAGTAATCATTAAATAAAATTTCCCAAAATGGAACAAATAATTGGTAAAGTACATAGAGGAGGAACTCACCGGATTCTGACAAGGTTCAGTACTCCTCGACATATTCTAATTAACCATCAATACTACAATAAGGGGAAAATATTTTAGTTTTTTACAAGAAACACAGAAACCTTCCTCCTACTGGTTCTAATTCTTCCTTAAACATGACTAATGTGAAAATATGTTTAATAGGAATGTATATGTACAGCCTTTATCAGATTGCGTGCTGTCTTAGGGTGGGAGGGGGAGAAAAATTTGAAACTCAAAAGCTTATGGAAAGGGGCAGCTAGGTGGTGCAGTGGATAGAGCACCGGCCCTGAAGTCAAGAGAACCTGGGTTCAAATCCGGCCTCAGACCAAACACTTGACATGTACTAGCTGTGTGACCTTGGGCAAGTGACTTAACCCCAATTGCCACGCACACACACACAGAGCTTATGGAAGTGATTATTGATAAATCAAAATAAATCAATTTAAAAAAAAATACAGAAATCACTTACCAAGGAACAATCAGCATCCCAGTGGACTCCTTCCACCTACACCTCTCCCTCCACCCCCTTATTCAAGAAGGACAAGGGACAACTAAGAACTAGGGGCCACGAGCCCACAGCTATCTACTAAGCAAAATATGGTTGCTTTTTGAAGGTAAAAGAAACACTACAACTATGATATGTTAAAGAGAGACATAAACACTTCAAGGAACTCTATGAACCATAAGCAGGTCTCCCAACTAAAAAGGTAAGTATTTTTAAAAGCTATAATTCTCAACATACGCGTCTTAAAATTTACATCCTCCAACCAAATAAACCAGTTGCTAACAAAATACAATAACACTCAGAGAACTGTACTGGCTAAATCACGAACTGTTTGAGAATGGTATTCCAGAACAAGACAGAAATAAAAAGGGGGAGAGGGGAATGAAGGAATTAAGAGAAAGAGGGAGAAACTAACCCTAAAAGGGCTAAGTCCAAGTTAAAGAAATCACCACACCTATTACTATGAGACAGGAAACTCATTTATAGCGATTTCTGTTAAATTTAGGATAAGAATTTTCCTTCCTACAGGCCAAATAAAAAGTGACTAAAATTTTCAATAAGAGGAAAGAGAACCACAGAGTAGATGAAAAAACAGTAGGTAACAACATGCTGTTCATAGGAGAAATATTTAAATAGATTCAAAATGAAAAAGTGGTCTAACATTCCCCTTGCTCCTGCCAAAGAACGAGAAGCCAGAGAGTGCTAAAGAGAGCAGTATGAAAAGAAAGATGCAATAACATCAGGTTGGACTGAAAGGATCTATATAAAATGGGTCGGTGAGAGGTGCCCACCAGACTGCTGTTTCACAACACCGCTGGCATCCTCTCCATGACCCAGCTACACAGCTTCCCCCTTAGCTCAGGCCTTCAAGCCTTCCCTCCTTGATTCTGGCAACCGCCCCCTGGTGGAGGGTTGAGCAGACGTCTTCCCACTCCAGTCCATCCTTCCCATGGCTGCCACCAAAGCACAGATCTGACCACGTGAGCCCTCTTCCCCTAATTCCAGGGGCTTTCTACCATGTCCAGGCTAAGACATAAACTCCTGGTTAGCTTACAGAACTCTTCACAGCCTGGCCCCAGCTCCGTTTCCACTATGAGACCTGAAAACAAGAACCAAAGGCATCAATAGTGACCACGAAGCCCAAGGTTTCAGGCTGCTTACCAGGAAGGAAGGTGGCCTGAGGAGAGGGCTGGGACACCACCAGGCAGCTCAGGGAGTCACAGTATGCCATGATGCGGCACTTCCCTTCCGGTGACACTGTGAAGGCCTTCTGAAACTGGTACTTGTGCTGGTTCTGGCTGAGAGGCAGACAGTTCCGGAAACACGCCTGGGAGCTGCCCGGCTGAGCAGAACCTGACCCATGCTGAGCCACAAGAACCTTCAATTCCTGAGGAGTCAACCACAAAAATGCATGAAGAGCACTCTGGCGTTGGCCACACTCTCCATTTCTGAAACTTCAGAAGATGCACAGGACACCATCTGTGACAGACAAACTCCCTGTGCACACAGAAATCTGGCCTGAGACAGCTGCTGCTGGAGTGAAGGGGGGTCCTCTTCAGCCAGGCTTTGGGAGTCTTTTTGTCATACCCAGGCTGAGGCAGTCACAGGAAGCCCTTCGATGGATCTGCTCTGTATGACCCAATAGATAAAGGAGGGTGGAATCCTTACGTTCCAATTCAACACAGCTGCTGCTCCCCACCAGGTGGCCTTAGGGGAGCCACTCCCCTCTGGAGGTAGGCCTCAGCATCCTCATAGCTAACAGGAGGCCAGTCCGATGGGGGAAGCTCAGAGATCCCTTCTAGCTAAGGATGGGCACGCCACTTTTCTGATTTCTCACCACCCCAAATTACATTTATTAAGCAACCAAACTGATGAGTCTTAAATGGAAGTACAGTAGAGACCAAGTCACAGAGACAATAAAGAAATATATGAAGGGTAACAGTCAATATCAGAGTTTATGACATGTAGCTACAGCAATCCTCAGAGGCAAATTCATATCCATGAACACAAATTAATAAGGGAAAAAGAAAAAATTAATGAACTGAGTGTATAGCTAAAAGATTAGAAAATCAAGTTAGTAAACCCAAAACAGGCACAAGAGGAAATCATCAAAATCAAAGGTGAAGTAAGTAAAATTGAAGGCAAAAATAAAAATTGAATTAAACAAAGAAAGGATCAGTAAAATTGGTAAAAATCATTAGCTGCTTCTAAAAAGAGAGGTTCAAGAGTGTAATGAATAGCTCTATTTACTTCCTGAAACAACCTCTGCTCCACATGAGATGCCTATCAGCACCCACTGGCCCCTTCACCATCTGGGGGCCCTCCTTTGGACCGTTCATCAATGTCCTTTCTAAAATATGGCATACATGTTCCACCTGTGGCTTATTCTTCTGCTTAGGCCAAAGAGGATCTTCTAATTCAACACTGCTGCTTTGCAGTGAGAGGATGAGGCTCTGACACCTGATAACCCAGTGAGGCCAGACACTACCAAACATGGTCAATTCTGCCTCCAGACCCATCACCCTGGCCATCCCCCCCCCCCCCCCCCCGCAAAATACCACCAACGCCTCCCTCTTTATTCTGTATGCAGTTTCTTCCTGCCCTGCTCCCCGTTTCCATCCATCCTCCAGGTACCTGCCAAACTTGATTCCTAAAGCACAGGTCTGACCATGTTACTCCCCTGACCAGGAAGCTCAGCAGCTTCTACTGCCTCGAGGAGAGAAGGCAAACTGCTCTGCATTTCTGCCCCCGAAAGCCTAGGTATCCAGAGCCAACCTCCACGAAGAGGCTCAGCTGAATCTGTTTACCTGCTGTTCTCTCTCTGACATTCCGTCTCCCATCCCTTTGTCTTTGCACTGACTGTGCCCTGGACGTGCCGAGAATATCTTCCCTCCCTACAGTAAGTGCTTAATAAATGCTTGTTGATTAATTGATTCATAGGTGTCCTCCCCCAATTACTTTGTATTTGTTTAATCTACATACCCGCCTTCCCTCAGCAGACTGTAAACTCTGTGAAGATGGGGATTGGTTTTGGGGTCTAGACATCTAGCATCCAGCAGTTTCTGGCACTTAATAAATGCTTAGTAAGCTGAAGACTATGCCTAGCTACTAGAAATACTCCTGTTTCACTCCTATTCCAAAAATGCTGCGGATTAAAGGGGTAAGACACATACCTGGACGTGACTTCGAAGCTTGTTACATTCATCTGAAAGGACCTGCAGCTGGAGCCGGCATTGGGCTGACTCTAACTCAGCCTCCTTCCTCAGCATCTGCTCCTTGAGCAGGGAACTGGAAAGAGAGAAGCCAGCACCAAGTAGCCATCAAGAAATGCAGCATCTCTTTTACACATGAATGCCCCCACCACAGCACAACTGCACAATACTTAGATTATAATATTTCCTATGTCCCACATGCCCATACCGTCATCGCACAAAAGGATTTTCCTCTCTGGTCTACCATATCTACTTCTAAAAGTTGTTTGATGTCATTGGTTTTATACCAGTCTTTTCCTCCTTAATCATCCCCTTGTATAATTTTCAACTTCTTCCTATCAACTGGTTCCTTTCCTACTGCCTTCAAACACACACACACCTCTCCGATCCTTAAAAAAAGCATGAGTATGTCCTTCCACACTCTTAAACCAACTGTCCTGCATCTCCCCTCTCAGCCAAACTCCCAGACAAAGCCCTCAAGGCATTTCCTCCCCCTCATTCATTCCTGAACCCTTTGCAGACCGGCTCCTAAACTCCTCACTCCCCCGAACCTGCTCTCTCCAAAGTTACGCATGACCTCTCAAAAACAAAAATGGACCCTCTTCTCCACCTCTCTGCTGCTTCTGACACTGTTGACTCTGGGTTTCTGTGACACTTCCTGGCTCTCCTGTCATCTGTCTGATCACCCCTCAGTCTCCTCTGCTAGTTTACAATCACTAACTGTGAGTGCACCCCAGGTCCCTATCCTGGGCTCTTTCTCTGAACTCTCCCTCATTAGCTCCCATGGGTTTAATTAATTACCATTTCTAAGCAGATATCTCCTAGAAATTTGTCATCTCCAGTCCAATGGGACATTTTGAAATGGATTTCTTGAAGACATTTCTAAGTCACCACGTCCAAAAAAAGAGCTCATTGTCTTTTCCTCAAAACCCATCAGTTGAGAGAAGCCCCACGTTTCCAGGTTTATAAGCTCTGCATGATCTTTGATGACTCACTATTCTTCATCTCCCATATCCACTCAGTTCTTAAGCCTTGCTGTGTCTACCCCATCAACATTTCTTGCATCTGACTCCTCTCTGCTCACATCACCACCACTTAAATCTTGTAAAGCCTTCTACTTGGCCTCCTTGTCTTCTCCCCGTCTCAAGTCTGTCCCCACTCCAGCCTGCCCTCCATACGGTGGCCAAAGGGATGCTCAAGTGCAGAACTCACTTGGCCACTCCCCTACTCAAAAAACTCTGGTTGTGGCTTCCAGATGCAACAAAATATTAAGTCCTCTAGGGGGCTCTTAGAAACCTTCCTAACCTCTCTCTCTCTTTTTTTTTTTGTGCTTTTTGTTGAGGCAGTTGGGGTTAAATGACTTGCCCAGGGTCACACGGCTAGTAAGTGTCAAGTATCTGAGGCCATATTTGAACCCAGATCCTCCTGACTCCAGGGCCAGAGCTCTATCCACTGTGCCACCTAGCTGCCCCCCAATTTCTCTTTCTAGCCTCATCACTCCCCGCTCCTGCACACTGTGACCCAGACAATGCGCTCCTTCTCCCAGAATCCCTTTCTTCCCACCCAATGCTGCTCCAGCATCACCTCCTTTATGAAGTTTTTCCTGACCCTACTTTGCCAGTGCCTTCCCTCTCTAACTCTTGAATTTAACCACACTGCCGTAATTTTGTATTTGTTCTTGTTATTATTCTGTAAATACTTCTACACATAAGTGTCCCCTATTAGAATGTAAGTTCTATGAAGGAGAGAATGACTCATTCTTTGTGTTTGTATCATTATCATCAGCACTTAGCAGAGTGCATGGCACACAATAGGTGCTTAATCAATTCTTACTGATCCATTGACATATATACCATTACTTCTAGAGCCCTGTCTTAAAACAAAGAAAAACAGTCAAGCAAACTTGGCAAATTAATCTGACTGGATAGACAACATTCTCCATCTGAATTCCCCTACCTCTCTAGTGAAGGGAAGCACGTACACAGAAAACCTGCCTCCTACGAGGCTGGTCCCTGCAGCTGCTATTAGATAAGAGTACAGCATATTAAAATATTATTTTCTGTGTCCTTTCACGGTATTTTAGAATTCCTAATAACAGCTCACTCTTGAAACATCGTGTTCAGCAGCATCACAGTTCTAACAGAATAGCTGAATGCAATGTGAGCTCACTAGGCAGTGAAATGGGGAATGTGCTCCAAGGATGTCATCATCCCAGGAGCTGTCCGGCCTGTCCCCGCCCTCCATCCTGGGTGCTGGCCCCCTGCCCACAGAGTGGCCAGCTGCAAGGGGGCTCAGGGCATTCAGGAGGAAGAAAGGAAAGGGCAGCCACTAGGGAACATGATAAATTTCCGTGGGGCTGCAGTGAGGAGCATGTTCATCTGTGTACAAGTTCTATCGCCCACTGGAGTGACACAGGTGGTTGCCATCACAGCCTTTCTGTCCTCGTACTCACCCCACCTGTGCATAGCACAAAACTGGAACCCAAGGCATGTTTGTTGAACTGAATCACAGAGATCCACACAAACTGTGACTTCTGAGTCCTGATACACATGCATACACACCTCACGTTCATCCCACTGAGACCAAGATCTGGATGCAGAAATAGTAATGTGGATTCAACTCAAAAACACTTCTTAAATTCCTATTCTGTGCTAGGTGCAGGTGAGGGAAGGTACAAAAACAAAAGGAAAGAATCCCTGCCCTCACAGAGCTTCCGCTCTATGGGGGCTATACAACATGTACACAGATGACTGACTCCAGGCAAGGGGCACAGGGTGGGCAAAGGCATGGCAGGCAGCAGGAGACGGGACAGTGCCTGAAGAGGACTAGTATAAAATAAGCCTGGAAAGGTAGATGGGGGGGAGGGAGGTCATAGAGGGCCTTCAATACCAGAAGCAAGTTACAAACTCCACAAAGGGAAAATCTTCTCCACCACGGTGGAAAAGGCACCTTCAGGAGGGCCCAGGAGGCTCTTCAAGCAAAGCCGGCTGGTCACACTTCTTGGCTTATGGTGGAGCGGGGATTTCCTTCTGGTCTGGGTTGGACCCGATGGCCACTTTGGCCTTTCTCATGGTCAAACTACGACTCTGCCTGCATTTTATCCTAGAGGCTATGGAAGATGCTTGAGCTGGGGAGTGGCGTATTCAGGTAGGTATTCTGGTAATATCAATTTGGCAGATTTGAGAAAGATAATAACAATAGCTAACATTTCTATAGTGCTAGGCACTGCGACTGGAGAAGAGCCCAGAAACAGGGAGAACAATGAAGGGGCTGATGCCTCCTGGCAAGAGGTGACAGAGGATGAGATGCGAGTGATGGCTAGGGGCAGGGGAGAGACGGGGAGGGCAGTGAGGGTGCTGTATAACTAGAATTGTCCAGACTTGACAATGGAGGGGAGGGGAGGGGGAAGAGGAAAGTGTGAGTCTGGGGTCGTGAAGCTAGGTGAACAGAGGAGGCTGGTGGCCCTGACCCAAGCAGAGAGGAAGGATGGGATCTGGGAGAACTATGAAGAGTTCTGCTCTGTATGTATTAGTGAGTTTGAGATGCTCCCAGGACATTCTGATGGAGATGCCTAGCAGATAACGTGGACCTAGAGATGAGGGCTGAATACACTCCTGTGTCAGGAATCCCTGGAGAGGTGATCATTAAACCCATGGGAGCTCATTTTAACAATAGTGAGTAATAACAATACTGAGCTGAGATTTATCTGGCACTTTAAGACAGCAAAATGCTTCCACAGGTGTTCTTTCTTTGATTCTCACAACAGCCTGGGAAGGGAAGTTCAATTGTTATCCACATTTAAGGGGCTCTGAAATTGTGACTTCGAGAGTGTCACATAGCTGAGGAAATTTCTGAAGGAGGATTTGAACTCCGGTCTCCCTGACTCCCAAATTCAGAGTGCTACCCACTGCGCCAACTTGTTTCCTAAGAAATGCCAGCAGAGAATCAAAGGCGAACATGACAAGCAGACCCCTTTCCTTCTACCTTTTCATGCGCTCCTGTTCACTGGTATCCAGGGCTTTTAGGGTTCGGGCATAGAGAACCACAATGTCTGAGCGTTTGGCTTTCTTGTTGCACTAAAGAGAATGAAGGAAAAGCATTAATGTCGTTAAAGAAGGACTCCTCCTTCCTGATTCACACCCAAACCACACAACCAGAGGTACTGATGCTTCAGCAGCCACAGCGGCATGTCACTATCTAAAGGCAGGTGCTGCTCCATCAGTGACCTTGGGGGGCCCCGTCCATGTGGCACCGCCTGGGCTGGTGAAGCAGCCCCTGTGCAGAGTTCACACTGCACGGCATCGCTGGCTGTCATTACCCACTTCCCCTGTAGGACTCCCCCTTCTCGCCCCTCTGGCCAGGCCTTCCATTGAGCTCCTGGGGCTCTACCCAAGGCACCACACAGACTTCTTGGCTTCTCAATTTCTGTGGGCTCAGGCTGACCATCTTGGTAGCCAACCTTCTCCTCTGGTTACCCTTGGGAGCACAGGACCTCAGGGCTAGAAACGGAAGGAGCCTTAGCGGTCCCCTCGTCCAGCTCCCCTGCTTTACTGAGGGGGACGCTGCCTTGTCCGGGGTCACACGGCCCTGACTCCAGGGCCTTCCATGTGTTTTCCGTTTCCTTTCTTCTACTTCTCGGTTACTAATCATTGGCAGAACGTCCCGAAGCCCAATCCCTCCCCCAACAACTGGATCCTGCAGCTGTGATCCTTCCAAAGCGATGGCGCCATTCCCTAATGCTCAACAGTGGCTGCCTGGACTTATCGTAGCGACCACCGAAATGGCACCTAAAGCCTTTGGCAGTGTGGCAGAACCTGGCTGCCAAGAGTCCAAGGTCTCTGCCAGGCCAAGATGAGGCAATGGACAATGGCATTTGTGAAAGAAAACAATCTACACCAGGAGCCCTTAACCTGGGGTCTGTCGACTTCTTTTAAAAACATTCTGATAAGTGTACTTCAACACAACTGATTCCCTTTGTAATCCTGTGCATTCTATTTTATCATTTACTGATGGTATGGGGAGAAAGGGTCCACAGGCCAAAGGGGTCTGGGACACAAACCAAACGAAGAACCTTTTGTCCAAACCAATACAAAAACATCCAGCTCGTTCAACGAACAAGGGAAAGAGAAGGGTCCAGGATAACTTTGAGCCATAAGGGCGGCCTCCAGCTGGGCTGAGGAGGATGAGGAGGATGGCAGTGGGGTGGGGTCCAGACATTTGGAGGAGGCGTGGATTTAGGAAAAAAGAGACAGACATAGCACGTTTGAGGAGTCAACAGGACGCTTCGGTGGAGGTCCAGCAGGCAGTTAGCAATGTGGGGTTGGAGTCCAGAAGAAAATATTAGGGCTGGACATACAAATTTGGATGGCCAAACCCATGAGATTGCATGACATAACCAAGAGTGAGAAAAGAAGTGGTCCCAGGTTAGAGCCTGGAAAGTCCCCCACACTTAAAGGGAGGAGGAACCAGAGAGTGACCCAACAAAGAAGACTGAAGAGATGGCAGAGCAGTGTCCCAAAAGCCAGAAAAGAAGGGAATGGGGGACGTGGGGGAGGCCCTCTGTACAGTGTCAAAAGCTGAGGATAGATCAAGCTTTAGTAACTGGTAGGACTGTGGCAATGATAACCAGACTGCAAAGGTAGGATCAAGAGTGGGTGTTTAGAAAGCTGCAGAGGCAGCAAGGACAGACACTCTTTTTCAGGAGGAAAGATGAACAGTGCAGGGGATGACAGGAGAGACCTGAGAACGTGTGTAGGCAGCAGGGAAGGCGCCAGGAGAGAGGCAATGTGCCTGCAATCTGTGGAAGAAAACGGGAGGGGGACGGGATCGAGGGCACATGGAAGGGCAGGGCACTTCCTTCTTCAGGGCCCAGAGAAAGGAGATGAGAGTCACAACAGAGAATTCCCTGCCGACCAGAATGCCAGATCACCTGCAAGGTGGCTCTGAAGCAGATTCTGTGGGGAGTGGGGGCCCAAGGTCAATCCGAGAAGCAGCAAAGGACCACTGTCCACTTCTCTGGAGGCCAAGGACAGAAGATGAGGCTTGCTCATCATCCAGCAGAAAGAAAGAATGGCTCACGCCCCCAATGGGGGCGTGGTGTGAATGACCTTTGGAGGTGCCCACAGGGCCTCCGGGAGACTGTCTTCACACAAGGCTGCTGCTTGGCAGGCACGGGAAGCCCTGACTCCTCTCCCCCAAAACAAAGAATGCAGACTTTACACCTGCATACCAGGAAACCAGGGTACGCACCTGGGGACATTTCCCAGCTTGTCCTCTGAGCCACTTGGAAATGCACTTGTACCCAAAAAGGTGCCCGCATCGCAGCGCAGAGAGCCGGTGGTCCCCAGCACTGGTCCACTGTTCAAAGCAGATGGCGCAAGTGTCCCCATCTTCCTCCTCCGAGGGGTCCGGGGCTGCTGCAGCCGGGGGAGGCAGCGGTTCAGGCTTCAGTGGAGACTGCTGAAGGGAAGAAAGCAGCTTTGGTTAGGCGGCTTTGGGCACTGGCCCCCTCATTTGCTCTTCTGAAAGACCAAACAGATTTGTTACCTGTTTGAGGGGGGCCTCTGCGCCAGCAGCAGGAGCAGCTTCCTGCTGGGCCGAAGGGTCCTCTGGAAGAGCCTCTGCAGGAACCTCTCCAGAAACTGCAGGCGGGCACAGAAAAGAAGTCACCGACACAGGCACAGTAGCATGGAGCCCATCAGGGGGCCGGGGAGTCGGCTGTTTCCACCTCCATAACATCTTCTGCATCTGACCCTTCCCTTCCCTACCTTAGCTCTGGGCCTCCTGACCTCTGGCCTAGACTATGGCCTTGAACATCTCCCCACTCCAACCCATTCTCGATACAGCTGCCGAAGTCCTCAATACTGGACCAGACAACGTGATTGCTCAGCTCCATAAACCTTCACGGCTCCCTCTTGCCTTTAGGGCTTGCTCAGTTTTAAAGCCCTTCTCAACCCGGCCCCAGCCGACCTCTGCGGCCTCACTGGATGTTCCCTCCCCATTCTGCTTTGGGATGCACAGATGGGCTCGTCCTCTTTCCTCCATGCTTTTGTCCTGTCTGGGCGACATTCTTCTCATTCCCCTCCTCCACCTCTACCCCAGGCTCTTTCTTCCGGTAAGACACAGCCCAGACCCTCGTCCCCAAGCTGCCAGTGCCTTCCCACACCACTCGGTACTAAACTTCTGTTTCTTCTTTATGCACGTATATGTACATGCACCTATATCCTTGTTTGACTTCTCCATCAGAATGTCAGCTCAGTAGGGGGAGGGACGGCTTCATTCGTTGTGTTTTATTAAGCACATAACAGATGCTAAATAAAAGCTTGCTGATTAATAAAAGGATGGACACTTAGGAGACCCCAGTTACTTTGACCTTTGCATATTAACACATGAAAGTTAGTCAGAAGCCCAGAAAAGTCACTGACTTCTAAGATGGGGGGAATGAACATATCCATCTTTATCCATCTTTAGCTCTCTAAAACAAAATCCCATTATATCCCATAAATACCACATACCTCAGATCAAATTAAGTATGTACTTGGCACTGTCTAATCTAGCTTTCTCACTGTAACATGGAAAGCTTTAATGAAAACATGGAGGAAAGATCCCAGCTGGGACTTTAGCATAAGTGGTAACACTGTCCACCTGGTGGCCATGTGCGGAAACTCCAGAATGGGCTGTCGTCCACCAAACCCAAACCTGGAGAGCGCCTACCTCCAAGCCCAACAGCGTCTGGGTCCTCGTCCTGGATGTCCACCTCCTCATCCTCACTGGAACTGTTACTTTCTGTATCAGAGTCACTCGACACATGGATGACCTCAGAGCCAGGGTCATTGTCATCATCATCAGGATTGGGCGGATCTGCTAACTGGACTGGTTGTACCCTGTTAACTCGGAAGTATGTGTCCAGTGGTGCCCTTGCTCTGTACAGGAAGATAACCACATTACAGCATGAGAAACGCCTGCCCTGCTAACAGAGTGGACACTTCGAAGAGCCCTCAACATTGTCCCTAGTCCAGGGGAGTGCTTAATTGTTCCCTTCACAGAGTTGAGAATGGGACCCACGAGTGGGATGAGCAGGGTCTGCAATGGCTGACGGGGTGGGGCACTCATGGTTCTCTGGCCATGCACCCACAATGCACCTTGGCATGGGGAGGGAAAAGATGGAAAGTGTCCCTTTCCTGCCCTTTGGCTGCTCCAGCAGCCCTGGCTAAAACTCTGCAGGGTGTGAGCAGGAAGGCTCCTGTCAGTCAGACCCACTTTCTACTTTAATTTGATATTTTCTGACATCCTTTTCCCCAAAGTGCTTTGAGCACTTCATAATAATTATCTAGGGTATGTTTTAAAAAGTGCGACTATTAAAAAATGACCCACTTTTATCTTTAATAGCTGCTTTTATGTCATTGAGTCAAATTTAGAAGTCCCCAGATGAACTTCTAGAGATGATTCGCTATTGAAATATTACATTTTCTAATGGCTTGCCTGCTTCTCATGGAAAACTAGGAGTTTCTAAGTACCTACTCAAAGAGCTGAGCTAAAAAAGAGTTTAAAGAAGAATTCACAGGGTTTGTTTCTATTTTCTATTTGAGATCCAGAAGAGGAGATCCATTCTTGGAAGGACACATATCAGACACACACACACAGACAGACAGACACATACACACACAGAGGGATATTAAATAGAGCTTTTCATCCTTTCATCCGTAAAGTTCTTAAACATCTTCATCAGCTTCCAATGAATCTCAGTTTTTTAAGTTAGGGACAGACAATTATGTTACACAGGCAACAAAATTATGAAGACTGAGCATGTATAAAGAATTTTTTTTTAAAAATTTAGCTAATTTTTTTTTTGCGAGGCAATCAGGGTCAAGTGACTTCCCCAGGGTCACACCGCTAGTGAGTATCATGTGTCTGAGGCTGACTTTGAACTCAGGTCCTCCTGACTCCAGGGCCCGTGCTCTTTTCACTGTGCCACCTAGCTGCCCCTGAAGCCAAAGTTGCAGCCAAATGAAATGTAACATTAACCTGACCCATCACTATGTGTAGAATGGACAACTGGGCACCAACAGTGAGCAGGTTAAACTGGCAAACTAAGCAGCCTCAGGGGCCTCTGTGGATGAGGTGCACAGAGAAGCAGGAAGCTGCTTGGAGATTCCCCCCACCCCTTTTTAAAATAGTTTATTTTGCTTTATCAATAATCACTTCCATAAGCTTTTGAGTTTTAAATTTTTCTCCCCCTCCCTCCCCAAGATGGAGTGCAATCTGCACATACATATACATTCCTATTAAACATATTCTCACATTAGTGATGTCATAGGTAAGAATTAGAACCAAAAGGAGGAACCACCAGAAAGAGGAAACAAAACACAACAAAAGAAAATAAAAATAGCGAACAGTATGCTTCGATCTGCATTCAAACTCCATAGTTCTTTCTTTGGCTGTGGCTAGCATTTTCCATCACGAGGCCTTTGGAGATGTCTTAGATCCTTGTATTGCTGAGAAGGGTTAAGTCTATCAGTATGAGTCATCGCACAACGTGGCTGTTACTGTGTACAACATTCTCCTGGTTCTGCTCACTTCACTCAGCATCAGTCCATACAAGTCTTTCCAGGTTTTTCTGAGTCAGCCTGCTCATCATTTCTTACATCACAATAGTATTCCATTACATTCATATACCACAATTTATTCAGCCATTCCCCAATTGATGGGCACCCTCTCAATTTCCAATTCTTTGCCACCACAAAAAGAGCTGCTATAAATATTTTTGTATACGTGGGTCCTTTTCCCATTTGTATGATCTCTTTGGGATGCAGCCCCAGAAGTGCTATTGCTGGGCCAAAGGGTATGCACATTTTTATAGCCCTTTGGGCAGAGTTCTAAATTGCTCTCCAGAATGGTTGGATCATTTCACAACTAGGAGATTCCTTCTTACAGGGTCTCTCTCCATAATTCAGAAGATCCAGGTGTCTGGGACAGAAAGTATGTCCTCTGACCACGCACCCTGAGAGGAGGGGTCACTTTGTAGCAGTCCTGGCTGTTCCGATTCCCCAGGCTTCTTCAGAAAGTCCTCAGAACAGATCCACTCTGCCCAACTCTAGCCCTTGGCTGCACATGGCCAGAGAGAGGGCCCTGGGGGGCCTCAATCATTCCTTTTTCTACCCAGGACCTGGGTAAATAGACTAAACCAGGACAGTACATGAGATTTAAGGAACCCTCCCTTCCCAGGTCTCCCCCAAACCACCTAAAACTACACAAATTTATTTTAAAAAAAAATTTTTTTTTGGTGAGGCAATCAGGGTTAAGTGATTTGCCCAGGGTCACACAGCTAGTAAGTGTCAACTGTCTGAGGCCAGATTTGAACTCAGGTCCTCCTGACTCCAAGGCTGGAGCTCTATCCACTGCACCACCTTGCTGCCCCTAACTACACCAATTTAGGTGAACAAGCAAATATCCCCAAGAGGGCTAAGAAAAACCATTAGTTATTCACATTTTATAGCAGATTGGTTTAATCAGATTGCTTTCTGAGCTGAGCTGTATTGAGACAAGAAATGAGAGTTTTGATGGGGCCAGGGAAAGAGTGGATAATTCTGGACAATGCGGGAGGAAAAAGTAAAAGGTTGAAGAGGGTATGAAAGAGATAAGTGTCAGAAATTCCGCCTAGGGTCCAGTCTGCCTTCCTTTCTCATTTCAGTATCTTGCCTCTGCTGGAGGACAAGAGTTAGTGAGGCTGGTGTGGACAGCCGGTGCCTCCATGATGATTTAGAAACTTTTCCGTGGGGCGGGCCCGGGCTCCCGGAGGCCCAGGGAGGCGCGGCGGCACACAGGGATGCTGTATGCCATGCACAGCCAAGCCAAGATGTCATGCAGCAGGCCGGCCTAAAGCGCCAGCTCTTCTTGAGTTACTTGGCCACCTTTTGCTAGAAAACAGCAATTACAACACAGTCTCGCCCAGGGGCTGGGTCAGAAAATGAAGACTATGCCAACATGGGACAGTTAAGCAAGAGGCACATAACCTCGAAACCTGGCTGGCTGCCTCACTGCCCTCCAGAACTGTTAAGGAAATTAAGGATAAGGTTTGTCGAGACCTCGGAGGCTCAGGAACTCTCTGGGTACTCTGCTGGGAAATTAAGAGCAGTGGGTGTTCACTTCACGTGCAGTGCCCTGAAGCCTTGTGCCCATCCTGGGCCACAAAGGATCCACCTGACTCTCAGACGTGTTGTCAGCGCCCAGTGAAGCCACAAATGCTCTTTGGCTGAAAAGATCCCAAAGGCACAGAGAATGACGGACAAGACACCGGAGCCTGCCAAAGGCCTTCCCTGTGGGGAGCTTGGGGTCTCCAGGTCTCCGACTGCAGCCCTACTACTTCTGTCCACCCTGCAGCAGACTGTAAGCTTTTTCTCTCCCCACTTCCGAATCTGTAAAGCAGGGTGAACAGAGAATTCACGGGCTTCTCGCTACACATGACCTCACTATTCCATGGGGCGAGGGGGGGGGGTGTCCTGACAGCTGGGGATGTCTCAAAAGGGGGAGCTCAGCCAGTCCCATCCCTTCTCTGTACTCCAGTGACCTCATCTGTCAAGGAAGGGGACCAGATTGTGGGATACCTGAGGTCCTGTCCAATGTCCAGTCTAAATCTCGGGAAGAACGGAAGGATCTGAAACCTCAAGAAGACCACAATGTACCCTCTTCTCTGTACCTTTTGCCAAGTCCCTCCCACATCCTCTGGGAACAGGACCCCTAACCTGATGGCTACAAACAGGAGCAAATCTCTCCAACCCTTAAACTTCGCAGCCCCTCACACCATCATCCCACATCCCTTCCACCTTTCACAAATCCCTGGCAGAAGCTGCTCACATTTGTTGCCTCAACCCCTGATCCCACAGCCAGCGATCTCTTAATTGCCAGACCTGGGTCTGGCCTTCTCTTCTCCTCCCGCTCATCCGTGTGTACTTCGACCCTGCTGACCATCCCTTCCTTGGAGGCACCCCGAACATTGGCCTCTTCATTCTTTCCCCATCTGGTGGGATGTTCCTTCTCAGTCGCCCGTGATGGGTCACCATCCATGCCCCACCCCAACCTAGGCCGGTGCGCATGTGCACACATCCCCAGTGGCTCTGAAAGGGATCCTTTTCTAACAACACTCTCCCTGCTATCTCATTAGTTTTCAGATTTAACTGTCATCTCTAAGGTGTATATGGGCAGCCAGATGGCACAGTGGATAGAGTGCTGGGCCTCGAGTCAGGAGGACTCATTCTGCTGAGTTCAAATCTATGTGTGTGCCTCAGTTTCCTCATCTGTAAAATGGGCTGGAGAAGTAAAAGGCAAACCACTCCAGCATCTTTGCCAAGAAAACCCTAAAAGGGGTCACGAAGAATAGGACACGACTGAAAAACACCACCAGCACCACCACTACCAGAATGTAGACAGCTTCCCAATCTACAGATCTGGCCCTAATCTCTCTCCACCAAATGCCTGCTGGGCAACACCGGGATATCCTACAGGGATCTCAAAATCAACATGTCCAAAACAAACCTGTTCTCTTTACTTCCTATTTCCCCCTCCCTGTCTTCCAAGAGCACCACCATTCTTCCCATCACCAGGGTCACAACTTCAGGTTTACCCTTACCCAATCAGCTTTCAGAGTCAGTAACTTCTACCTCCACCCCCTTCTCTATGCCCAGGGCAGCCGCCCATGAGGTCTGTCATTGCTTGCCTGGACCGCTGCAATATTCTCCTACTTGGTCTCCTTGCCTCAAGTTTCTCTCCTCTCCAGGCCATCCTCCACATCCTATCCTTAGAGTGAAGGTCTAGTCAGGTCACTTTCCCACTCAGTAAACTCCGTGGCTCCCTATTGCCTCCAGGACCAAATACAAGATTTTCTCTTAGCTTTGCAAATCTTTCACAACCAACCCTGTCCCAATCAACCTTTTCAATCTGTTACTGCCCTTCACACACTATGGTCCAGTCAAACTCTCAACTCCATGTCTGGAATATACCCCCCCACTAAACAAACAAAACCATTTTGTTTCCTTCAAAATTCTGTTCAAGTTTTCACTTTGTACTTGGAATATGCCTTATAAATACTGTGCAGCTACTTCAGCACACAATGTCTCCCTTGATGGAATGGAAGCCCTTTGTGGTCAGGACTTTCATTTTGTTCTCTGTAACCCCAGTGCCTTGCACAGTGCTTCTGGGACTTCATAAACACTCAACTGCTTCAGGAGAAAATCTGGGAAAGAAGTTTTAATGGAGGAAATCCACAAGAGAAAGCCGTGGAGATTTGCAGGATGAAGCCATTTTGGCTGTGAAGGGTAACTTTTAGGATAAGAAGAGGATTTGTGTCAGGATGGGCTGTTGGAGGAGTAGCTCTCAAATGTATGTTTTATGATGAAAACCTTCTGGTTCCATATCCTGTTGCATATAGCTACAGTTAATGTTTCATTAAAAAAAAAAAAGTTGTCTTGAGAGATGGGGGTGAGGTCTTTGGTCTCATTCATGTCTTTCTCCTGAACCATCTTTCCCAACACTGTTTCTATTCCCCTCTTCCCAAGGCCCATTTTTACCCTGAAGTTCAATTAGAGAATTCTTCCTGAGTTCTTCACAGAAGGTCTCTCCTGCCTCCTCCTCCACAATGGGGCTGGCACGGAGGCTCTGCTACCTCTCTTGCGGCCGTTCTGCAAACACTCAGCATGAGCAGTGTCACAGACGACCACGTATACCGCCACAACGTGGTTCTTGGACACACAATAAACCCAACTTTGCCAAGAAGTCGCTTCTTCCAGAAGAGCCTGGGGCCGCCATTTGACTTCTGGTTTCATGTAGGGGAGAACACCCAGCTGGCTTGGGCTCCTTACCCCTCAGCGGCTCACCCTCGGCCTCCTCTTCCATCACGCTGCCAATGGCCCTGCAGAAGGCAGTTCCCTATCTGGATTCACGGGGGGGCCACAGCCGCTAAAATCCATTACCAAGAGGCGAGCCTGCTGGTGGTCCTCGGCAGACAGGCATGGTCTGAGGCTGGGATCAGACTCGAAGCTGCTCTAACACAGACAACTGTCAGAGCTTGTACTCTGCAGGCAGCGTCCACAAAGCCACGGTCACCTCCATGACACAAGGAGGAATCGGTGCAGGATTTTATGAAGGTGCAGCCTCCATATACATACATATGCATGTATGTACACATACATGCATATGTACACACACATATATACTCCACAAAAGTGCAACCACTTAATAAAGAGGGATGGTCTTAGCAGAAAACGTAATGCATAATAATTGCACCGCACAACAATCTATCAAGAACACCTACCTCTTGGTAAGACCAGTCCAGACAAAAGGTTATAAAGGGAAGTCATTCTCAAATTCACAGCACATTCTCAAGTGTCGAGAGCAGCAAAGGTCTTCACACTGAAGAATATGCTCAAAACTAACTCACAACCTAACATAACTTTCTTTCTAGAACTCTCCCTCTCCCCACTCCAGCCTTAGGGCCCCTGAAAGATGACCAGACAGGACACGCTTATTTATTAGGGGATTATTATTATTATTATTATTTTTTTTTCGCTAGGCAGTGGGGTGAAGTGACTTGCCCAGGGTCACACAGCTGGTAAGTGTCAAGTGTCTGAGGCCGGAGGTGAACTCAAGTCCTCCTGACTCCAGGGCCGGTGCTCTAACCACTGCGCCACCTAGCCGCCCCTATTGGGGGATTCTTAAATGAAGTAATTCATCCCTGCCCCTAAAGACTTCAATTCAAAGCTGGGAAATAGTTTCAGCCTATGAGAAACGTAACAACTCGTGCGAGGGGAGCAATAGCATCTCGGCCAGGGATTCTTCACCTGGAGTTCACGGATAAATTTCAGGAAAAAAGAAAATACCATTTACATTTTCACTGACCTCTAACTGAAAACCAGCACTTCCTTAATTGTTCAAAAACGTGACTGAGAAGGGGTGCATAGACTTCACTGGCCCAGCCGCCAAAGGGGGCCCCTGATCTCGATAAAAGGGATCCCCATAGGTCTGCACCCCAGAGCACTTTTATGTGTGTTACTCCAACCTGGGACGTGTTTTTTTCTTCATTTTGTAGACACCCAAGCTTACGGGGCTAGGACTTACCCCAAACCTCACTGACTCTTCCCACAACGCTAGGCTACTTTCCTCCAGTGTTTTAAAAGGATTTAAGATAATCTGACTGGGGGCAGCTAGGTGGTGCAGTGGATAGAGCACCGGCCCTGAAGTCAGGAGGACCTGAGTTCAAACCTGGCCTCAGACCAAACACTTGACACTTACTAGCAGTGTGACCCTGGGCAAGTCACTTAACCCCAGTTGCTTTAAAAAAAAAAAAAGATAATCTGACTGAAATCCACCCATCTGGGCCCCCTGGGTACCATGGATTGGTAAACGGATTTCCATCATTACGTGCCAAGATACGCTTTGCCAGATGAACACGGTTATCCCACCTGAAAACACCTGGATTTTCTTTTTGGTATAAAGCCAGATGTCTCCCCGGGCACAGTGGGTGAAAAAGTATAGTCTCTGCGTGCCCGCCTGGTTGTGTGGGCGTTTCCCTGCCTCTTACCTGTAGTCCACAGTCCTCTGAGACCCTCCCGCCCTCCTCTGCAGGCGGACTGTCCTCCTCCTCGTTCGCACTGACTGCGTCATCTGCTGGGAGGGCTGCCTCAAGAGGCCCAGCACCCCATGCAGCTGCTGCAGTCTGTCAATGAAACTGTTCACCGAGGTCAGGGCAGACTCTGGGAGGATGGGATTGACATCAGCTCCTACTGTATCTTCTGCTGCTGCGGCGCCAAGGTCCACATTCTCCTCGGCAGATGACACAACTTCCTCGGTCACTTCGATTGGCACCTGAGGAACAGGAAGCAGAGGGGCATCCACCTGCCCAACGAATGCATCAGCAGAGGCCTCCTCCCCATGTTCCATAGCAGGACCTCCTTCTCCCACCTGAAGATCAATGTCCATTTCTTCTTGAGCCATTGCTGAAAAGACAAAAAAGAGATAAAAGTACATACAAAGCAAACATACAACGCCTCGCCATTGGTTTGACTAGGTCTAGTCTTTCAGAGCTGCTCTTCAGCAGAGGTCTGTGCTGCTTTGCTTTGGGAGGCGTTCATTAACAAGCCAGTGGCTGGCTGGCCCGGGAAGGCAGGCCCCATAAATGCCAAAGGGAGCGTTTTTGACGTACTAGACACGGAGCAACGACAGCTAAACGCACAGGACGAGAGAAAACCCACGGATCAACACCTGACACTAAGCGCTCATCCTTAAAGCACTCTCGGCGTCCATCCTCCACCAGTCGTCATCTTCTCAACCCACTAGAGCTTGCGCTTGGGACGCACAATGAGGTTCTCCTCTTTCAGCAGAAAACCTGTGCACACTCTCCATCCTGAAAGGCAGACGTTAATTCTGCCCAGCCACGTGAAGAGAGGGTGGGAGAAAACTGAGTTGCCTTCCGGCTGCAACGGTCCCTATCCTAGAGACCCCCAAAACTGTAGAGACTCTGGCCAGAATACCTTCCCCACATTCCTTCAGCCCTGTGAAAATGTCCAGATAGTGACTCAGCCATCCAGAGAAGAAAAGGTAGATGGTTAATGATGAACTGGGTAATGGGATCAGCTGGAATGGCTGCAAGGGGCAAAAACCAGGTGGAATGCCAGTCACAGATGTCCCTTTGGAAGCTCCTTAAGGCAGAGACCTAGGTCAGTGAAATTCCTCCAACATGGAATAAAGCTGGAGAAGCTGTGCACTCTGACTCTGGGGGTGTACCCATTAAAGCGGGAAAGAATCAGAAAGTGAGTGATGGAGGAATGAATACAGGGAAAAAAAGTCTCTAAAACCAAAGATTTCAAGAGGAAGAAAATTCAAATAAATCAAGAGCAGGAGCAGATCAAAAGAGAGGTTCCTAAAACTGGAAGGAAAGATAAGTACTTAATCCTCTAAGAGAATACTTGACAAATATTATAAGACCGAGGAAAGTGAACCAATACTCGATGAACACAGAATCCAGTAAAATTCTAAGAGAATAAGGAAGAATAAGAAATGCCAAAATGGTGCAAAAGAAAACTAAATCCATAAAAGGAGAAATTAGGGAGAGAGAGAGATTGGACCTGTGGTTTCAGGAGTATCAAGAACAAGGGGGAGTAGAGCTGAGGTGGAGATAGGACTGATAACTCCCTCTACTAACTTAAACTCAAAGAGAAATGGATCCCTGCAGGCCATAGGATGACTTAGAAAACCACAAATTAACTTATCTATACTGTATGATACTTTTTTATTTTGTTAAACATTTCCCAATTGTATTTTAATCTGCTTCAGGCTATATTAAAAATTTTGCAATTGGCCATGCTGCAAGCAGGTTTGACACCTCTGACCTCAAGTACTGAAAGGTTTATGTGAATAACCTTAGTTCAGACAGCCTTACCTTTCAGAAGCAGGACTTGAATCCAGGAACAAATATCAGAATTTATAGCTTTCAAAGCAGAAATAATCAGTTTATCAAAATCTAAAGCTTGGAAGGACAATCAGCTTACTCTAAAAACATCAAATCACAAGCATGAAATTGTGAGCACTTTTAGATTTTAACCCTTGTACATTCATAGCCACTCTCTTGAGTGCTAGGTACTCCTTCAGTTATTATTCTCCAAACTCTGGAGCCAGCACAATCCTTGCTCCTGACAAGGGCTTCTAGACTGTCCCTTTGCCAGAAACACTAAGTAACCTTCTCCCATCTGTCTGTCTGTCTGTCTGCCTGACCCTGCCCAAATCGTTACAGCAGCATCTACTCTTCTGCTGGTAATTCTCCCTGCTTTCTCAAGGGATCTATGACTTGATACACAGTCTCCATCTTCTGTCCAAACTCCTCCTTCCATACTTGGGGCCTCCCACACACAAAGACACATTTCAAACATCTTGGATTCCCAGGCCATCCTCTGTCTCAGGAGGGTCATAGCCTCGATGACCCATAATTGTGCTACATCTGTGATTCTAACTCTGAAGTTCCTTCCTCTAATCACAGATTCCCATCTTTCTAACTCTCCCTTGACCTTATTCCTCATAAGGTCCTGACTCCTCGCCCTTATTCTGCCTTCCTCCCTCCATCCCGGCCTGTTCCCCGGGATGTACAACCTTAACTTTCTTTTCTTTGGTCCTGACCACAAGCACGATGACCACCACCACTAGCATTTATGCAGTGCTCCACGTAAACCATCTCATTTGATTCTCAAAACAGCTCCGTGAGGCAGGCGCTATTTGCCCCTAATTTACAGAAGAGGAAAGTGAGGCAAACAGGGGTAAGTGACTTGCCCAGAGCTCCACAGCTAGTGCCTGAGGCTCCACGCACCATGGCGCCACCTAGTGGCGCACACCACACAAGACTGTTTACTCTTGACCCTCTTCCCACCTGGTCACCCAGCAGTCACCCTTTGTCAAATCTCACCACCTCCCTATCTCTTCTGAAACCCCCATTCGATCCCTCTGCCCTCTACATCTCCTCCCCAGAAGGTCACTCTCTCTCCTGGACTCTGCAGACTGGCTTTGCTCCACGGCACGCCCAGTGACCAATGACCCCCAGTGGCCCAAGCTTCATCTCCCGGACGTTCCTGCTGCCTTGGACGCTACAGATCACCGTCTTCTCCTCTCCCAGTTTTGATGCCGACCCTCTTTCCTGCTTCTCCTCTGTCCGCCTCCTTTGCTGGATCTTCATCCAGGTCCTCCCCACTCCCTGACGGCGTCTCCCAAGGCTCTGTCCTGCACTCCCATCTCCTCTCTGTGCGACTACATCTGGTGACGCGCTCACCAGCTGAGGGTCTCTCCTGGCACAACTGGCTGTCCCACAGACATCTTAAACTGGACAAGTCTAAAACAGAACTCATTATTTTTGCCCCAAACTGTTCCCCTCCTCAGAACCTCCCTATTACAGCTGAAGTCCTCCCAGGAAGCCTCAGGGGTCACCCCACACATCCTGGTTAGACACCCCTTTCTCTCCTGTGACAAAGGAGGGACAATCCACTCCCAGACTAGTACAACAGCTTTCTGCCTCCTGACTCGGATCTCATTCCAATCACTCAGCTGCCAAAATAAAGTATTCCTAAATAAAAATAAAGCTTCCTAAATAAAGTAAGGTCACCCCCAGATCGATCAACTCCAGCCCACCCTCTTACCTCCTGGATCCAATCAACCTAAAACCCACGGTCTGGTTTCTAAAGCCCTTCATAAGCTGGACCCCTCCCGGCCAGTCCTCTGATAAGGAGACCCACAAGACCCTCCATCTCCTTTCACTGGATATTTCCCCCCACCCCCCCATCTCCTGGCTTCCTGTGGGTCCCTGGAAATCCCACCTTCTTCAAGAAGCCTTTCCTGCATATATATTTCCAGTAATGCTACTGCCTTCCTTCTACAGATTCTCTGCAGCTTATCCCACCCCTAACTGGTCAGCACAGAGCCATTCTCATATTGCCTTCTACATTAGACTGTAAGCTCTCTGAGGGCTGGGGTGGGTGTTTCAGCTGTTTCCGGGTTTGTTTTTTTGCCTGTCTTTGTATTCCCACCACTTTGCCCAGTGTCTGCACCCAGAAGGTGCTTAAGGAATACACATTTCCTTTCCTGCTTACCACCTTTCTTTGGATGCCCAGCACTTAGCCCGGTACCCGGCACGCAGTAGGCGCTTGATGCATGCCTGGTGTCGGGCTCAGCCTGGGCCCTACGGCCGGCGTCCGCCGCGGTGGGTTCTGGCCCCAGGTTTCTCTACTCCTGAGGCCCAGAACGTCCCACGCGGCCTGCGCCGTTGCCTCCGCCGGGGACCCCGGGGCTCGAGCTGGGAGCGGACAACGGGCCTGGCAGGCCTGCGGCCCCATGTGACACACGTGAAAACTGAGGCCTACCGCGGCCCCTCCGTGGTCCCGGGCCCGGGTCGGCAGGACAGCCGAGGCCGGGAGGCGCTAGACCTGCGGGCAGGAGGCGCCCCGGAACCTCGGCCCCGCGCCGTTCGTTACCTGTTGCCGCCTCACAGAGGACGCTGGGATCCCGGGTCGGGGCCGCACGCGGAGACCGCTCTCCCCGAAGCCTCCCAGGCTAGCTCAGGCCTGGGCCTTCCGCAGACGCCGCCGCGCCTCCGTCGCCGCTACCGCCGCTACAACAGCCATTACAGCCGCCACCGCCGCCAACTCCCATTGGACGATGGTCTCTAGCTTCCAGCCAATCCCATCTCCTCTTCTCCCATTGGTCGGAGGAGTCAGGCCCAGAGGCGCTCTGATTGGCTCTTCTGGCGGCTCTTCACAGACTGGTCCGGCACGGAGGCGGGAAGCTCAGACACTTCCGTCCGTTTGGTGGCCGGATCTTTCCATCACCGTACAGCCCGCCCCCTAAAAGGTTGTACGGAAATGGACTCATCCCATCTCCATTTCATTTGAACTTATGGGCGGGAAAAACTTATATTGGTGGAGAATTGCTGATCTTGGGTCGCCTAGGCCCTGGGGAGTCTTGAAACTGGCAAAGACCTAGTTGGCCATCAAGCCCAACCCCCCTCCCCCAAAGGAAAACAAAACCTTGTAACAAATGGGCGAGTCTTTAGCCATGCTCAAAGTACGTGTCTCATTCTGCCCCTTGAGTCCATGACCTCCATTTTAAAAAACAATTTAGGGGCAGCTAGGTGGCGTAGTAGATTAAGCACTGGCCCTGCTGTCAGAAGGACCTGAATTCAAATTCAACCTCTGACACGTACTAGCTGTGTGACCCAGGGCAAGTCACTTAACCCCGATTGCCTCCCCCAACAATTTGGATTCATGCAAAATATTAGAAAATGGTGCCTAATCTTTGACCTAGCAATTTCCTTATTGAGTTAATATCCCAAGGGACTTTTGTGCAAACAAGAAGAAATCTATTTCACTTTGTGTGTGTATATCTCTATCTGTCTCTGTACCTGTTTTTATATATATATACACACACACACACACACACATATATATATTTATATTTCGGTACTATTGGTAATAGTTGACTCTGGGCACATCACTGTCTGCCTCAGTTTCCTCATCTGTCAAATGGGGATGATAACAGCGCCTGCCTGCCAGGGTTATCATTGTGACCATTGGATGAGACAATATTTGTAAAGTGTTTTGCAAACCTTAAAGTGCTATAAAAATATGTTATTATTATTATTAATAGCAAAAAAAAAAAGGAAAGCAAATTGACCACCAATTAAGGAATGGCTAAACAAATTACAGTATGTGAATGTGATAGACTACTAGTGCTCCACAAGGAATGACAAATATGACAAATCCAGCCTCAGATACTTACTAGCTGTGGGACCTGGGTAAGTCACTTAACCTCTGTCTGCCTCAGTTTCCTCATCTGTAAAATGGAGATAATAACAGCACTTACCTCATAGGGTTGTTGTGAGGCAACATTTATGAGACAATATATATAAAATGGTTAGCACAAGTGCCTGGTACACAGTAGGTGCTTATTAATTGCTTATTTCCTTCTTTCCTTCCTAGGAAGAATTCATTGAAATAAAGGGAGACTTGTGTGAGGTGATGCCTAACGAGCAAAGTAGCACCAGGGAGAACAACAGGGGAACCTAATATTTTATATAGCGCCTACTGTATGCTAAATACTATGCTGAGAGCTTTATAAACATCGCCGCATTTGATCCTCACAACAACCCTGAGAGGTAGGTGCCGTTATTATCCCCATTTTCCCACAGCTAGCAAGTGCTGAGGCTGGATTTGAAGTCAGGTCTCCCTGACACCATCTACTGAGCCATCTAATAACAATTTACTCAATGAGTACAATTGTAAATAAAGAAAATTTTAAAAGGCAGTGAAACTCGGGTTGAAAACTTTGGATAACGCTCATACTAATTTATAAGGCACGCTCCTGACCCAGCTTTTACAAATGGAAAACTGCTGTCTGCCGTATCATTCACAAGCATTCCTGGGTGTTACTTTCCTTGAGTTTTCAGGGATTATAGATACAAACATTTAACAGGTAGTTTTGTATGCTGGTTTTTTTTGTTTTGTTGTTTGTTTATTTTGGGAGGCGATCAGGGTTAAATGACTTGCCCAGGGTCACATGGCTGTAAGTGTCTGAGGCCACATTTGAACTCAGATCCTCTTGACTGGGGCCATTTTAAGAAAATGAAACAAAATTTATCAGTAAAGTAAAAATGTTTTTATATGAAAAATAGGAGAATTTTGAAACACACTGTGCCTTAATGTTATTCCTTCAGTCCTGCCTGTGGCCCAATGATTACCTTGTGTCTCAGTGAATGAAGCCCTCCCCCTAAATTCAAGGCTCTGTTTTAGGCACCGAGGATGCAAAAATTGGAATGACTCTGCTTTCAGTGTGTCATGGGAGGAAAGTGGCCGTGACAGGCATTCAGGCGGGTGTAACAGAAGAGTGGGAAGGATGGGGGCGGAGGAAAGATTCAGACGGTGCTTGGGGAATATTTATTGAGAGGAAGGAGATGGGATTTGACCTGAGCCCAGAAGACAGGGGCTCTCCAAGGTACACACATGAAGAGTGCGGTTTGCAAAGGGAGGGAAGCAGCACACGGCCACCCTGGCCACGGACCAGCTTGGTCCAGAATGGTCCAGCTTGGCCGGAACGCAGCATTTACAAAGGGAGGTTTGCAGAATTAGGCAATTGGAGTCAGACTATGGAGGACCTCAAATACTGGGCTTCTGTTTTATCTTGGCTTTTCAATAGCGGGATGGTCTGGTTAAACTCACGCTTCAGAAAGATTTTTTGGGAAGCTTCGTGAAGGATGGCAGAGCCCAGTTCCTTACAGTAGCAGGATATAGTCACACGGCCCTTCTCAGATGAATCATTTGGTGGCCGACCTCTTGGAGCTGGAACCAGGGCAGAACTGGGGCTTTGCCTCAGGGCGCTGAATTCAGAGGGTGCTTGTTGTCTGCATAGACAGCATAGAAAAATAAAGCCTAGCGTCTAGTTAGGAAGAATCATTTGTTAAAATAGGAGGCTACCAGATGGTGGACTGGGGAGAGCTCCTCCTCCCCCTGTACCTGCTCTCCCACCCTCAGGCCAAGGTCCCAGGAGCTCTGTCTCAGACCTCTCCTCCAAGTAGGGCTGCCTGGCACCTAGTTGCCCCGGGGCACTTGATAGTATCTGTGCCTGGTGCAAACCGTACCTAGTCACAGCTCTGGCCAATGAGTTTCTCTACACTTAGGAATTTTGAGGACTTAAGAATTGGAGAATATGTTTAGCCAGGCTGGTCCTCAGATAACAAACATGTCAGTCCTTTGATGGTCAGGATTTGAAACTTTCTCAAGCATTTAGCGTTACTTTGTTAAGTATAGCCTTGGGGACCCAGGGTCCCCTCCATATCACAATGAGACACTGGGAAAGTACCAACTATAATGTTTACATGTATAATAGAGCATTAATTAATAATCAATCATCTCTATTGAATACCTACTGTGTGCCCTAACTTTGGGGGTCACCGAAAGCTCTGTCTTGGTCCCTTTTCTCGTTAGGTCTGTGTACTTAAAAATTAATAACTATATTTCAATATAATTTCCTTTATAATACTATGTATTTTATTTTGTGCATTGAAAAATATTATTTTGAGAAGGGCATCCTTAGGTTTCACCAGATTGTCAAAGGAGGCCATGACACAAAAAAAAGCTAAAAATACCTGTTCCATACCCTCTCTAGGTGATGTTATCAGTTGCTATAGGTTCAGTTATAATCTCTATGCAGGTGACTCCCTAAGCTATGTATTATTAGGACAACTAGGTGATATGGCAGCTAGAAACCTGGACTTGGAATCAGGAAGACCTGAGTTCAAGTCTGGCCTGAGACACTTACTAGCTTTGTGACCCTGGGCAGGTCACTTAACCTCTGAATGTGTTCCCCCATCCATAAAATAGGGATAATAATGGCACCTAGCTAGCAAGGTCATTGTGAAGATTAAATGAGATAATACATGTAAATGGCTTTGTAACCCTTAAAAAGTATATGAATGCTAGTGATGACTGTTACTGTAGCCTTCTGAGGTCCAGTCTTTCAACACAGATGACCTCTTGGACATTTCTCATTGGATGTCCTGGAGACACTGCAAACCAAACGTGTCCAAAATAGAACTTATCCTCTCTCACCTCCCGATCCACATACCATGGTGCTAGCCACCCCCCACACTTTCCTACACTATTCAGATTAAGTACCACTTTCTACACAAAATCTTTTCTGATTCCGCCCCCCCATCTGTTAGTGCCCTCCCCTCCTAGCTATCTTGTGTTTGTTTTTTATTTATTTCCTGTGTGACATCTCTTCAGGGCTATTTCCTCAATTCCCACTCTCATTGGTGGGCCAGCTCCCTAGAGGTCGGCTGCTTCTCCTCTCAGGTTTCTAGGGGTAATGCTAAAGGGGCTGTGGCTTCTGACACTTCCTCATGAGTCCCCATCGGTGTGTATTCCGTTGATAATCAGGCAGTAACCTCAAAGCGCTTGTATCAAAGACATGTACTAGGTGATATGGAATAGTTGACATAAAATACTTCCCCTCTAAAGCTAAGAGGCTTTAAGATAAGAAGTGGAGGGCATTTGGTGGGGTTGTAAAGTGTAGGATAGCAGGATAATGAGTAACATATAATGAGTCTGGAAAGATAGATTAGGTCCAGGTGGTGAAGGTCTAAAACACTATTTTATCCTAAGGGGGCAATAGGAGGCCACTGGAGTTTACTGGGTATGAATGTTTAATGATCGGATCTGTTCTTAAGAAAAATTATTTTGGCAGCTGTGTGCCCTCACAGAAAGCTGACTCTATGCTTGATTAAATGAATAATAATAAAATGGCGATGGGGGGAGAGGGAACAATTTAAAAGAAGTCCCAAGTAAACCTTGTCATTCAACATCTCTAAGACCATTACCAGCCTCCAATACCCTTGTCAATCAAACCTCAGACCCTGACAGAGTCACCTCAGGACTTTGAACCCAAGAGCCTGGGGAATGAAATGTGCCCTGGGCCACTGGACTTGCTTCTAGGCCAGCCCGGCAGCCATCATGGAGGTGAGGAATCATTGTGGAGAAGAGGTCCACTTTCCTCATCACCACAAGCAGCATCTGCT